TAAGAGGTAACAATAGTATCAAGTAGATGACTGATTTCCCAAGGGAAATGCTCATTGACTGCTTTCTGTTTCCATCATAGAGTAACAAAAGAAAAGTTGAAGCTGTACCAAGAAAATGGGCAATTAAACATCTGAATGGGCGTTAGGAGAAAATGATGAATTCCTTTGTTTGAAAACATTTATAAATTCTTTCTGTGAAATAGAAGATAGACATGGGCTCAATGAGATCCAAATGCCCCTTCATTCTCCACATAATATAGTTTATCAACACATTAATATTAATGTCTGCGTTATATTGATGAGCCCATTCTCTCAGGAAGGCAAGCCATTGGTCTTATTTGTTGAAATGGCTGCTCTGGGTTTACATTGGCAGTTGTAATATGTGTGTATGGTTTATGTAAGCTCCTATCTGGACTCTTCAATTTTCTGCCTCATTAGAAAGCATAGCCAAAAATGGTTTAATTGACCAAAGTTCCCTGAAAACAGAGGAAAAGCAATAAAGAATACAGGTCTTTATAACTTATTTAGAGGCTCAAAAACATATTATTTTAAATTATAGAACATTAGAGTAAGGTTCAGAAGAAGTAATTATCCTTTTGCTAAATGATTATTTCTGAGTATATCTTAAACCCAGATAATTTATAGCTAGAAGTAATTATCTAAAAGAATTGTTTTACTAAAAATATTAAAAACCACCTAAAGCAAATTACTTATAAATTCAATTCAGACCTTAAAGAGGAAAAAATTTGTACTGTGAATATTTGTGTTTAGACACTGAAGGTAATCAGAGAGATATATCTCAAATTAATAAAAATTATACTGGGGCCGCTGGCTGCCTTAGTCGGTTGAGCATCTGACTGTTGATTTCAGCTCAGGCCCTGATCTCATGGGTGGTGAGATCAAGCCCTTCCTTGGCTCTGCGCTCAGTGCGAAGTCGGCTTGGAGACTCTCTCCCCCACCCTCTGCCTCCGCCCCACCCACACAGCTGCTCTGGTGGGTTCTCTTTCTCTCAAATAAATTTTAAAAAAAGAAAAGTTGTACTGAAATATATATCTCTTTTAAGTGCAAAACAACAAATAATAGAGTTTTGAATTGAATTTCCTATTAGTTTGTAAAACACCCAGTTTACAATGTCATATAATAAAGAGATATCTACATTCAATATAATGATTTGCAAAACTTTAACTATATGCTGATTACAAACTTGTTTTATGTATTTAGTTATTGGAAACAAATGGATGAACATCAACCAAACATATCCCAGGTGGATAAGAAGTTTTGCCTGAAGGCCTGTAATTTAATATCACCCTGGGGATGAGTCATCAAATCCTCCTTGGTCTTCTCCCATCCCTGTCAATCAGTCTGCATCCAGAGACTCACATCTTGTGGATGTGATGATTCCATTCTACTTGCTTTATTATTTGAGAAAAGGAGTATAGACTGATTGCTCCTTGGATAATTATACCTAATAGCCCATGTTTGTTAGTGTTTTTCCCTTAATAATTCTATTTGAAAATAAGTTTGTTTTACTTTCTCAAACAGCATAAGGGCCTACATTTTTTAAACAAGTTTTTTATCGAAAGCCTATTGAGAAATGGGTTTTACTAGGGGTAATTTGCTCTTTACAGAAGACTGTAAAACACACATATCTGCTTAAGTGAAATGTGCCTAGACAGTTCAACCGAATGAGCTCAAGTGAATAAAGAGGCTGGAGAAAATTGGAGTGACTCTTCACAAGGTCTTTACAATTTGGCCTTTGGTTTTTCTAATTGGCAACTATAGTTTCCAGAATGTTGCTGTCATTTGGTCTTACCTACAAAGTAAACACTAATTTAATTCAGTAAGAAAATTTTCTGGAAGATTTGTCTGCACAAAACTCATGCTGAATTCTTTAAAGAATCATTTTTTTCTTACACACTGGATGTATCCTTGAAAAATTGGGTGTAAATTAGTTTCAAAAATGAAATCATTTGAATTTGTTTTTTGAAGAAAATATATGAAAAGAAAAAAAAGGGATGCCTGGGTGGCTCAGTTGGTTAACCGGCTGCCTTTGACTCAGGTCATGATTCCAGTCCCACATCAGGCTCCCTGCTCAGTGGGGAGTCTGCTTCTCTCTCTGCCTGCTATTCCCCTTGCTTGTGCTCTCCTGCCCCCACCCTCTGCCTCTCTGACAAATAAATAAATAAAATCTTAAAAAAAGAAAAAAAAAACAAAAACGCTGCAGTGAATATCTTTTGTCATGCTAAGGATTTGCCCTGCTCTAATTTCTGTTTTAAGTCCAATTATGCCTATATTCTATTTGTTAAATGTGTGATATATAAAATATAAACAAACCAAGCAAGTTTAAATAAAGACTCCAATGATAGATTCATTTATAATGGGCTTTGGATTAATTTGCATTAATGATTTCACTAAAATTAATTACTAGGGTAGTAAAGTATTGAATATGGTTTTGAGAAAAAATTGAACTGGACGATGACCAATGTAGAATTTATAACTGAGAAGTCAATAGTAATAAGTACAATCTTGGAATGATTACTCAAAAGAGCAATTCCAAGAAGGATGTCTTATATTATGGAACAAGTTTTTAGTCATAAAATAAAATTTATCAGCAGATAATCTTTACAACATATGGGACTTGTAAAACATAGAGAATAGCACAAGATGATAATCTCTTTCAGGCTTTCTCTGGGATTCCTGAATAAGAACACTTTATGCAGAAAGTATAAAATGTTCATTACAGGACCCTGCCTACAGATAATGTTTAATCAATGTAATTAATAGTATGTCTTATTTAGGAATTTATTTTAGAGTGAAAATTCTCATTTATATTTTCATACTTCCATTTTCTTTGAACTTCCTCAGTTTCCAGATCCTTTCAATTTCATGAGTTACTGATGCACTGATGTTCTGTAATATACTCACTTTTATCCAAAAGCATTACTGATTTATTAATAAGTCTCTAAATAAAGTATTAATAGTTGCATGACACCAAGACCACCTATAATGATACTTTCATGGCCAAATGACTGAGCTCACCTTATAGAAGCCCCTTTAATCAGTGCTTGCTTCCCTTCCTAAGTTCTTTCTTTAGGACCCAGATAAACAGTGTTGGGCTCCAGGCAGTTTGGTGAATGAACAAAAGGACAAATGTCAATGATATGTTCCTTAGGAAGGCAACATTGCTTTGGGAGGAAGTATTCAATTCATAAAGGTCACATCACTCAACACCTGCAAAAGATTTTGCTATTTTTATTGACATTTCTAAATGTTCTCAGTAATTTGTCAACTTCTCCTAACTTGTGTGTTCTTTGTTTCAGTGTTTTCTTCAGGTTCACAGAAATGTGTAGATACTTTATTGTTTTCACTCTGTCTACAATTAGAATTCAGTGAGAGCATGCTCTTTGGCACCAATGCTGAATTTTTTTCTTTGACCAAATTAGACATACTCCCTACTAAAATCATGACTGAATAATGGAACTAACTGGGAATCAAACCAGGAAAAAAAAAGAATAATATTGAGGGTCTATAATAAAACTTTTTTAAAAAAGCAAAATTTGGGGCACCTGGGTGGCTCAGTCAGTTAAGTGGTTGCCTTTGGCTCAGGTCCTGATCCCAGGGTCCTGAAATTGAATCCCACATTGGGCTCCCTGCTTCTTCCTTGATGGAGAAGCTAATTCTCCCTCTCCTTCTGCTGCTCCCCCTGCTTGTGCTCTCTCTCTTTCTCTTCTCTCTCTCTGTAAAATAAGTAAATAAAATCTTAAATAGTAATAATAATAAATAAAAGCAAAATTTAGTTGTTGAAAAAGTACAGTATTTTCCCAGTATAGAAATTAAACAGTGAAATTAATGAATATGGAATCAATGACCATTTTTTTCAATAAAAATAATCTATTAGTAATGCAGTTTTATTCAAGGATATAAAGTGTCACATACTATATGAGTTACATATTGTTACATAAAACATGTTATGTTACATAAGAAAACATATGTAACTTATGTTACATATTGTTACATAAGAAAACACCTCAAAACTTTGTAGCTTAAAACAATAAACATTTATTAACTCACATTTCCTGTGGGTCAGGGACTTGAAGGATTGCTTAATTTTGTGTTTCTGGTTCAGAGTGTACAACGAAGTTCCAGTTAGGATGTCATCTGAAGGGGCTGCAGTCATCTGAAGGCTTGACTGGGGCCAGAAGATCCACTTCAAGCTCACACACGTGAATGTTGACAGTGACCTCAGTTCATCCCCATGTGGGCCTCTCTGTGGGACTTTTTAAATGTCCTCACTCTACAGCAGCTGGCTTTCTCCAGAATGAGCATCCAAGAGAGAGAGCAGCCAGGATGGCACAGCGCCTTTTATGACTTAGCTTCCTTATTTACACACTGTCAATTCTGCTTTTTTTTTGATTCATTTGAAATGAAAAGTAACTCCAGCCCACACTCAAGAATAGAACTAGGCTTCACCCAATTCCATTTGGAAGAGAATGTCAAAGACTTTGTAAACATATTTTTTCTCTTACTTCCTTCATTTTATTTTTTCTTTTTTCAATGTTCCAAGAATCATTGAAACATATTTTAAATGACCACACACATTTACAACATTGCTGGAAAGTGGCTTAAATTTATTATTAAAACCATCTTTTAATAGAAACCTAAAATTCTCTCCATAAATCATTACCAAGAGTTAATTAGATTCCAGGCTAGTGTTCTGTCCAGTAGACTTGCTATATCTCTGAAGCACTGAAAATACTCAGACCCTCTGATCAGCACAGGTGGTCAGCATTTATATTCAGACAACTTTATACACTGCATTTTGTTTGACCAATCAGTAAGAAAACTCTCTTGGGAGTCAGGGCAGTTAGTAAATTAAATATGCTTCAACTGAAAACCAAGTAGTGTTTTCTTGTTGAATTTCATGTAAAAAATTTTGAAAAATGTTGAAGTAAAAATAATTCTATTACATGATGTATTATTTTTTTCTTTCATAAATAAAGAGAGGATGGCCGTGTTCCTATCGCAGCTCAAGCTGCCAGCGGCAATGCTGGCTGCTCAGGCTCATGGAAGGCCTGGTCCACCAGGAAAGGATGGATTACCTGGGCCGCCAGGAGACCCTGGGCCCCAAGGTAAGTCTTCAGGTATAATATTTGTATAATATTTGAACATGCTAATCACAGTTAAAGCAAATATACAGGCATATACATATGTATGTGTATATATATACACACACATATATATGACTTAATATAGAATATCTTGTTCATATTTGAAACATTCTGGAAGTTTATTTTTAACTATTACATCTTCAAGCTTAAAACTAGCTAATAATTACATGGCAATCTAAATGGATTTTAATAATACTTGTTTTAAAAATAATTGCAACAATAATGACTTATATGTCATCATTTTGTGGGAATCAGAGTTGCATATGCCTCCCTGTTGATGTAAGTTCGACAACAAAAAGAATCATTTTAGTATCCATCTTAGTATCCTGAAGAAGCTGAGGAAAGAATTTTAAGAGATGCCACTACAGTAGTGATTTACATCCAAGTAAAATTTTGAGAAATTTTAGAATCCTTCCCCATATGGTTTCTAAAAGTTTTAAAGCAAAACCTTACTTAAATTGGCAAAAAATTATTGTTCCACTGATGACAGCTTGACAGAAGACATGAATTTGAGCATAGCCTGACTAAATTAAGCCAGAAAGCCATTTTCTAGAAATCTGGTTAGCAATCAGCAGAGAAACCAATTAGACCCTGGTTTAGAGGATTCACAACTCTGACAAAGAAATACTAAATCCAGTAAGTATGTGGCATGAAAAATAAAACCAGGAAAATTCCTTTTCATGTATTATCACTGAGGAGTTCAAGGGTCCTCCTTGAAATAATCAAAAGGTTGTATAAAGGAGAAAACAGAGTGAACATCAAAATTACATGAGAATACAATCAAAAATACCATCTATGCAGAGGATTCTTTTTTTTTTTTTTTTTTTTTTTTTTTTTTTTTTTTTTTTTTTTTTTACTAGTTCCCTGTCTTCCTACTGCTTCTCTGTAACATGAGCCTGATTTTCCATAGGAAGTACCCAAGTGACTGACTGGCCCTTCCTCATCTGAAAGAACAACCATCTCCAGTCACAGGGTCTGTTAGAGTCTTACCCTTCAGTCACAGCTGACAAGGCTATCAGTTTGGTTAGTATGATGTAGAACAACAGAAACATCATTCTAGTTCATCCAAACTACCCTTCCCTGAGATCATAGAGGTGTTTGGCTGATAGTTGGAGGAAAATGTGTAGAAACAGATATAACCTCTGTGTGTACACTGTTGTGTAGAAGGTAGTTAATTATTATCTTTCGAGAGTTGGGTCTGTTCTGAAGTTTGGAGTCTATGAATCTAGAACAAAGAGCTTGAAGGCTCATCTAAAGATGGATGATGCCTCAAACCACGTGAAGGTTAAGAACTGTTAACACCCATAGCAGAAAAAATATGGACTGATGCTTCAAATAGCTGTTTGAAGAAGACAAGAACAGTGGGGAAATCAGGATTATCAAGGAAAACAGTTCTGGAACTGGAGTCACCTATCCACACAAACTCCAGTCTCCAGTCTCCCTCCCATGTAGAGAAGGCCCATCTGGAAAGCTCTCAGTCAGAGGCAATGCCAAGACAGCCATGTTAGTGAAGCTTCTGGAAAACGACTATTCACCACTCAATTTATCTTCCATTTTGTGAAAGATTTCTGTGGGTTTTATCTATTTGCTTAAGAAAGCTTCCAGACTACTTCTACTCCTGACAAGACTTTTTGACTCAATTCTTGAGCTGGAAAAACTTCCCTGTGTGATTTCCAACTTTTTAAAAACCGATGTTTGGTAAAATTGACAAAGTTTGTGCTTGCTCCAGCAGCACATATGCTAAAATTGACAAAATTTTGTCCCACCGTGGAGTTTCTAAAAACATATTTTTTACTCTAACTCAGCTGTCTCTTCAACTTTCCTATGATAGCTCCTTTCTAGTATTTGTTAAATTTGCCAGAAAGGCTATGGAAACATAAACATCTATATAAAATGGGGTCCATTTTTAAGGAATATTTGCCTGTAGTCACGCTATACTGATAAAACCACCAAGAAATTTTGCTGGACAAAAGAAGACACGAGGCTGCTATTTGATTTTTGGTGCCTCTCCAAGAGTTCACAAATCACTGAAGGGTTTGTCTGTGGTAGAGAAATAGGTAGGAAGTGTTCAGAAGTTGGAATTACGCATATAGGCTCCACGTTTTGCTCTGCCTGACTTAAAAGTTTTCTCCAAAAGAAAGAAACAAAACGCATATAAAAACTGTTACCTTAGTGTCCATTGTAGACGTCAGACGCTGTTGGCTGAATTAGTCTTCTTCGTGACACGACATGATTGAATTTGAGAAAAGATTGAAGTGAGAAAAGCAGTACAGAAAGGGAAAGAAAGTGTGGGCACCAAGGCTGGCACAGCACATCCTGCCCACTCTCAGGTTCTGTTGGATGCTCTTCTGAAATTCCCAAGAGACTTTTTTCCCCAGTGTTTATTAGGAAGTAAATCCACTTTCATTTAAAAAGTGGTTTATATTGAAATGCATACTATAGAAGGAGTCCTTTATTATCTTATGAGGAGCAGGACAGAAATTTAAAGGAGTCTTATAAGTTTCCTGTGCAATCCTGAAAGCAGGAGACGTGCAGAGAGTGATGAGAACGTTGATGTGAGACTAGTATCAGCACTCAATCCTACTTGAGAAAGGGAGGTCTGGCTCCTTCCAAGATTCTGACAATCTGAAAACTTGGATCCTCTTTCAGTGGCCTGGTCTTCTGGCGGTGAAAAGAGAAACCACTGTAATTCTGAGTTGAGACATTTTATTTACATTTTCCCTGAAGTCCCAAAAGGGGTGATCGTTGACATCTTTTTCAAATTCCAAAGCATTTCTAGACAACTTTATATTTTAGCCATCCCGTGGGTTTCTGATTATTGCCTTCCCTCTGTGCAGTGAGAGAACTTTCCTCAGTGTTCTTTCCCACCTCAGATCTGCAGCGTAGGTTCCGATGGCTTGTGCAGCGGGGGTGAGCAGGAAGGTGCCACGCTAGGATCAAAGAAGCCCAGTGTCATGATGCAGCTGGGTTTCCATATATACATGAGCGAGGCGGATCTTCCCAACAGACCTGATCCTCTTGGGCAAGTTTTATGAGAAAGAACTTTATTTAAACTTTTTCCAAACACAACTGATTCTCCACCTCTGAAACTTCTGAAGAGCAGAGGCTACCCTTGAAAGCCCTGTTTCAGAAAGAACCCCGCCCACAGAGTAGATAGTAGAGTTAGTTGCGTAAAACAGATCCAGTCATTCCATGTGTCCTACATCTGTTTTGAAAGGACATTACTGGGAATGGTTGTTCTTACTTTTGAACTTTTAAAGTTTTGCCGTTATTGGTTTATAACAAAGAAAGCCTTCTGTTCTCTGTAAGCCAGTGCCCCATAGGGTCGTTCATGTGACTGATAGGGATCTGACCTGTCATGCTGTCTCACAGTACGGGCCTTAGGAAAGGGAGGCACTTAAGACACAATGACTGAGGCGTGCCGCAGCCCGTCAGTGAGCTGTGACCGAGGAGGCTGAACGACTTGTCAGGTGTGTCACAGGCCCCCACAGGAAGAACTGTCCCTTCCCAAATGCTAGGAACACTCCTTTTGTGGCCATTTTGTCGAGTATACAGATAGATGAACCGATTTGCAGTTTAAAAATAAATCCCTGTGGTCAAAACAGAAATCTGTCTACACAAAGTACATCAAGTCTGCCATCTAAAACACTCCAACAAGCACCAAGTTTCTTTAATGACTAGGACATAACTAGTCATATGCTGTAGATTAGGACATCGCTGTGGTTTTCTTTCCCCACCTAAGCTATGGTGGTATCAGACTGTCACTGTGCGTACTTACAGGCCAGGGAGACAGGTATCCATTGACGTGTAGACCTGCCTTTTATTTTTTTCCAAATTTCAAGAGAGGCCTCCCCTAAAGGGGTGAAAAACTTAATTCTAGTAAATGGGAAAGCCTTATTGACTTTATTAGCATTCGTATCTGAAGTTTTGTTGTGAAGCAATTATAAAATAAGACCCTATGGCTCTATGGCAGCCTTCATAAGGAATTAGCTTGAGACTTATTAGGAAAATTGAGAGTAAAGGCTTTCATGTGCTTGTACAATTCAACAGCAATAGTGGGTAGTTATTAACCTAATGAACTGAAATTTGTACAAATAAGTCATTACATTTGACAGGAGAATTGTAAATGTTATTCCTATTCTACAAATACGAGAATTACTGTTTCTTGTTTTGTGATACCGTATGCACTGAAATCCATGTGGAATAATAAATTTTTGCATTATATTAAAATCTGAGAACTCAGTGTGAGTTTGTTAGTTTTAGCAGATACTGCCTCCATTTGGAATTGTGTTACGGTCTTATCAATCCACTTGGTAATTGAAAGTTCATACACCTTTTGCTTTTTTCCTTTCTTCCTCATTTTTTAGCCTATGATCTCAAGTACTTAACTGAGATAGCTTGAGGGTCAACTTTATAATTTTTCATAATTGTTGGGCCTAGGTTGAACTATCAAATAGATCTTATGTAACAAATGTTGTTTTACTGCAGAAATGTTTAAATAATGGAATTGGAAGGGTGCTTTCAAATGACCCTAAATATAAACATTTTTCCTTGTTGTTCACACAAGTTAAATGAAAGTCACTTACATAAAAGAAATTCCAGTAATATTTTGAATTGAATATATATCAACTTCTGATTATCATACCAATATTCAAACCACTATTGTCTCTAAAATCTAGGATTATATTGGATATCTGTAACAGTTTTATAAATGTGTGAAAATTTCTCCCTGGATATGCTTCCAATATGCACCTCAAAATATTTCTTGAATGTGTATGCTTTTTTCCCCACTGTTTTCTTTCACATTTGTGATCAGGTCACACCTCCAAAGTAAAAAAAGTGATCTCATTGCTGATACTCTTTCCATTATATATACTGTATGGTCAAGTAAAAATGAAGATGGCAACCCCAAAACTGATGTCTAATTCTCAACAATAATGGGAAAATATTTATCTTACATTCTGCTCATAGAAAACATTAAAATTTCTCCTCTTTTCATGTTCTGCTGTAATAACACACCTTTACAGAAAGGCACAACTAAGTTAGGACCTACTTCTCCTACTGAGATACTCTCCTAATTATCTCTGTTGTGTGTTTGCATGTTTCTGCATGACTTTGTTCATTTCGGATGAGGTATAATCTTTAAGCTGCTGTTTAAGTATGAAAAGTTGGAAATTAAATTCTATTTGACATCATCATGAAACTCTTAGAGCCACAAAACCTTTTTATCAAACATAGTCGTAGGTGGATACCAATATATAAAACACAGATAAAAAGTGTTTTATACTTTGTATTTTGTTATTTGCAATTGTATCTCTTTTTTATGAATATCATTGACACACAATGTTACATTAGTTTCAGATGTACAACATAGTGATTAACAAGTCTATGCATTATTCTGCACTCACCACAAGTGCAGCTACCATCTGTCACCATACAACACTATTATAATATCACTAACTATATTCACTATGCTGCATCTCTTATTCCCTTATAAGGATGAACGAATGACTTACTCATTCCATAGGGGGAAGCCTGTATCTTCTACTCGCCTTGACCCATTTTCCCCATTCCACCACTCCCCTCCTCTCTAGGAACCATCAGTTGGTTCTCTGAATTTATAGGTCTGATTCTGTTTTTCTTTGTTTATTTATTCACTTGTTTTGTTCTTTAGATTCTACATGTAAGTGAAATCATATGGTATTTGTCTTTTTGCTTTTTAAAAGCAGAGAAAAGGGCTCCCAGAAGCAGAAATTACTCTGCCCTAGTCTAACTGAGGTGACAACAAATATATTCAAGGATAAGAATGATTTTTTCTTAAAATGTATACAGATCTTAGACCTAATTCATTTTGGCTAGAGGATCTTAAATTGATGAAGTGAGCTTAAACGAATCTCTCAGCCTCCTTGCTCTCTACCGTTGTTGAAGCACCTAGTCTTTTGGAGTTACAAACTGCCATGTTAAAACATGGGGTTGTTGGTTTAACTTTCGGAAGGGATGTTATGTTCTTACAGTCAGTAATTTAAACAAAGACCTGATTTATCCTCTCCTGACTTCTGAGATGGATGGCTTTCCATATACTCACACACTTGCTGTCATTTATTAAAATCATGAATTTTTGTTCCTTTCATTCCCTTTAATTCTTGGACTAAGGTCCAGATCCTTGTTGTCGTATCATCTTATCCTCATACTAAGCAGAATTCTTGTCACTATGCTTCTTATATTTAGCCTGTATCTAGCCTCCAGTCAGAATTCCAATTGAAGAGTGTTTGTGTACTCTGTCATAGCTATTTGACAGATGACATGAATGATCAATTTGAGTTATTCAGGGTCAAAAAAATCTCACTATCAGTAGTTTGACCAGTTGGAACTTTTATGGTAGCTGCATATTTCTAGGATCCTCATTGTGTATCACACCTAATCTGTTTGTTATGTAAGCCTAATGTGACTATAATGCAAAAGAGATAGCCAATATACTGTTTAGGTTAAGTGAAGGCATAACATAAATCACACGGATTAAGAACATGATTCTTGCACATGCTCTGTTGCTACAGAACTCTCTTACTTCTTGTGTCTCTCTCTTTATGTATCCCTCAGGCTACCGAGGACAGAAGGGAGAAAGAGGGGAGCCTGGCATTGGGCTCCCAGGGAGTCCAGGTCTTCCTGGGACTTCAGGTAATAGTGATATTATCTTCACAACACAAGCAAGCTTCTAAAAACAGGAACCGCACCTTCTCGCCTGTGGCCCTTATGTGTTGCTACAGGTGAAGTTGAATGACCCATGTTGGTTGGAGTGAGGGAGGATGAGCCATATGTGATCTGCATTCTGATGGGGGTCTTTTATTTCATTAGCTCCGGGTTTGCCAGGCTCACCAGGTGCCCCAGGTCCCCAGGGCCCCCCAGGACCTAGTGGAAGATGTAATCCAGAAGATTGCCTCTATCCTGTGTCTCATGCCCGTCAGCGGACAGGTGGGAAATAAACACACCTGAGGAAGACTTGACATTGAGCTATCTTAATACTCTCAACCCCTCATGATATGTGGGTGGCTTTTTTTTTTTTTTTTTTGGTTTTTGTTTTTGGTAGACCAGACATTAAAAGCAACAATTGGAATCCTATTCCTATAGTAATTGGGATATTAGCATTTTCAGCTTTTCCCAAATTCATTCCATTTGTTTTTCTTCACCATTACTACGATTTTTATTCAGGATCTTATATGAACTAAGCAAGCAAATCTTGTCATTCGTTCTTCTTCAAGATGAAATGACATCTTGTGATTGAGTAGGCTGACGGTGATGTATTTTCTAGACTTATCAACTTGTATTTGGCCTTTGATTTCTGAATTTTAGAGTTTCAAACTTAAAGTTTTCTTGGAGTTTAAATTTACCATCATTGCTAAAACTTTCAACTTTTTTGACATAGTGCATTGCTCTTGCTCAATGTTTTTTGACTACTTTTATAGCTGAAGAATTCTTATACCATCCTATGTCAATCCTGCTTATGCAGAGAGATAGATAGGCAATAAGAGCTTCACTTCGTAACTCATTTTGGAAAAAAAAACAAACAAAAAAAAACAAAAACCCAGGAGCCTATTTTATCAGGGAGCCCAAAACCCACCATAGCCAACGACTGAAATGATTTTGTTTATTCTGTATAATGAGCTCAGTTCAAAGCAATCACCACTGGCATGAATATGTGCTGCATGAAAAGAGGGGAACAAAGTCCAATTGTACAAGAGTTCCACAAGAAAAGCCCAACACTGCAGTCTCTTCACTGAATTTCTCATTTGGGAAAAAGAAGGCAGTTTTCCCTCAGAGGTGTTTGATGGTGGAGGCATCAAGCTCTCTTTGGTGCCTTTGAAGCTTAAATGGCCTAGCAAGGTCTTGGGGTGCTGGTATCCATTATCCTTCCGGCTGGATCACTCTCCGATTGTAAGACAAGAACTGGCCATCAGAACAAAGGATGGGATTTGTAGCAACTGGGAAAGAAACCCCTTGATCTAGAAGACGAATGGGTGGTGTCTGCAGATGCGTATTGAGGAGGTGAAGCCCAAGAGCTCTTACGGAGAAACAGTTATTCTGGAGATCCAGGGCAGCCAAGGAAAGCCTTGGGACCGGATATGCAAGTAGCGCTCAGACCAAAGAGTTAGCACTAACTTCAGCGGGAACAGGCACCGTGAAGACCATGTCCTCTGGCAGGGAACAAAAGTATAGTGATCACCAGGCCAATTGCTTTCTAAAGTATTTTTATTGCCTAGCTCTACATTACTTTGAGAGGTTAAAAACAACTGATTTTCTAGAACATGGGGCACGAGGGTGTTGCTGAAATCTAAGCAGTGGGTCCCACAGATGCAGTGAGCGTGCCACCCAGAGCCCTTCCTGCCGCGGAAATGGGGAGACCCTGCCTCTTCAAAGAGAAGCACAGATTCCAGTTTGGCTGAACAGGCTAGAAGGGTTGCTTTTATTTGTTAATTGGAAAATGAATTTAGAAAAACAAGCCCACTGAGATTGGAACAAACTGTGAACAGAGTTGTATAGGGAGGCTTTTGTTCAAACGCACCCGTGAGCTGAACTGGTTTTCTTTATAGATGAATGAACTGCTGGTCAGGTACTGTCTACATGGCTGTGCACACACACAACCATTCAGTTATTTCATATTGAATTATGATGTATATTTTAATTCCAAGTTTGTTTATTTTATCCTCTAAGGTTATTTTATTTATTTCCAACGTTTTTAACTTTAAATTGATTTTCTTCAGTTTTCTTTCCTGTGCAATACCTATAATGGTGCTGTGTTTTAGATTAATGATTGGAATATACATATGCATTTTCTTAGTAAAATGAAAAATTATCCCTCCCAAAAATGTACAGAGATCCAAAATCTGGTGCTATGTGTATATCTTGAGGTCTTAATTTGTTGAACTTTAATTTTCTTGAATTTTCTGAAAGCTTATAATTCATTTGCCACTCCTTAATTTACTTGAACTTTTCATGAAGCTAGACATTTTTATATGTTTTCAAAGATTATTTTTTAATATTAGTTAGTAGGTTGTTTATCCTTTTGCCTTTTTGCTAGTCCAGAAGTACTTATTTTAGCATGTTCATGTTTTCATGAACTTTTTTGCTGCTGGTGATCAGTGCATTTTTCCTTGTTTTCTTTGAGTCTTATATATTCATGAAAGGACTCAGTTCATTTTCTTGTTTTATAACTTCTGTTCGTTTTAATTCCACAGAATATGTCATGCATCCTTTCTTATCAATTGTATATTTAGGAACCTTTCTTTGTCTAACTTCCATTAATTGCTGGGCTGGTTTATTCCTGTTCCAAGAATTTGGATTTATTCAGGTAATGAAAGCAGAATGGGGAATGTCATGTTCTATGATGCAAATGACAAAATAGAGTTCATTAATTCAAGCTCATTTGTTATAACTGACATATATGACTTGATCTGCCTTTGGCATAAGAAGAAAAATGGGACTTTGTCCACCTGGAATGAGGTCCTCTCACCCTACTTAACATTAACCTTCCAACATTTGTTCATGTCTCACACGATCTGCAACCAAGAGTGAAGAGAAAGCCTGGACCCAGCTAACACAACACTAAATATAGTGGACATTTGGCAGTTGCCTAATTCCCTTACTGTCGAGAAAGTGGATAATTAAGTCCCCAAAGTAGGGTGGGAAATTTTCCCCTCCATAATTTGGTGGTTGCAAACTCTGTTGTATCATTTTATTCCATTCCAAAGCATTTGTTTACTATCAGATAGATGTCAGTAGCATCCACAGCAGGGAAGAAGAATTACCAAATTTCTCGAATTATCTCTTATTTGGACTCTAGAATAATTATAGGCCATGATGACAATTAGTAATTAAAATTGGCTTTGCCCTATATGTTTGGATTCCAGTCTAACATTTTATACCAAAATCAGTTAACACTTTTCACATATAAATCTTTCTATGCAAAGAACAAGATATGATTTCAATCAGTATTCCTAGCCTTTGGAATCTAAAGAAGGGAGAATAATTCAAGAGTTTGTTCATTGTTCTTTCCTGTTGAAGATATTAACCACTTCTTCCTAACCATAAGAGAAACACAACCAGTCTTAACCTTTGAAATTTTTCACTCTGTGATTGTAGTAATTTAATTAATGACTTTAAAGTAATCCCATATGCTATTTCTATATTTTATGGCATTGTTGAAACTTAAAGTTTTGTCACTTACAGAGCTTAAGTAATTATCTTAAGATATGTTGTAAAAATGTCATTTGATGTTTGGATTATAAAATATTTTTTTATGACTGTGTTTTAGGAGTTAAATAAGACTTAGCTTTTCTGCAGTCTTTCTCCTCTGTTGAGAACCTGTGATATACCTCTTTTTGTCCACAAGATGGTGTTTAAAGCGACTTGAAACTGAAGAACTGAACAGACTTGCAGAAATACAAGGCTAGAAACAGTTTAGTGGACAACTAAATCAGACCCTTGCCTTTGCACTTATTTTTTTTTTACTTTTATAAATAATTTCTTATTAATTTGTTTTTTGTTAATTTATGTTCTTCCTCATTTTAATTATCTTTACAAAGAAGGCACAATAACCTGTGATTCCTTAGCTGTTTCCATTTTATTTCTTAAGTGGATTTATATACCTGCTTAACTTGTACCTTTACTATTGGTAACTTTAGTTTGTATGCTACCCTCATATTTTGGTGATTGACGTGAAAACACCTAAGTATTCATCCTACTTTTCAGACAGGATATTCTTTTTTTTTTTTTTTTTAATCAGACAGGATATTCTCTCTTGATGGACAAGTAAAAAGCATTAACCTTATCTCAAGAAGTAGACCATTTATAAAATTATATAATGTCTAAATCTCCATAATATTCAAGGTACTTAAAATTTTTAAATTTAAAAATTAGATTTGTATAACGTTTCTATTTTTCTAGAAATATATCACTATTTACAAAAAAAGATAAGGAACATTATTTTTCAAATTACCGTTTTAATTTTCCTAACAGAGGTAATAATACCCTGAGATTGAGAATTTCTAGGTTAAATTATATTCTTCAGTCTTCTCAATGAATTCACAGAATCCTTTTGCACATTGGTTCATTGCTTTTGTTCATTTTTTTTCCACACACAGGTACCTGTGTTCACTTTCTTAACACACATAAGTGTTCATTGTTCTTTCTTCCCAGTGTTCTTTCTTAGAATTTTAGTGTTGAGGGACATATACCCTCTTCCCCACTCTTCATAAACTTTCCTCTCACAGAGCTACCTAGGCTTCTAGGAGGAGGAAATGAAGAAAAGAACTGAATTTCTATCTTTTATGCCTTGATACTTCTAAGTGACTTAGCCCATTGAATTCATTTACTAGTTGGCTGGCAGTAGTAGTAGCATTATTTCTATTAATTTTTTTTTAATTATTAGGAGACTCAGGAAACAAGACAAATGGATGTCTTCAGTTTTACTATGTTGGGTAGCTAGAGCTATAATCCAAACATTTTCCTCAACAAAATCATGCCAGGCTAACTGGTGAGTTTAAACTGAATGAAGAACCAGTTGAGCACAGAAAAAGCTCGCTCAGACAAGCAGACCCAGAAGAGCAAAAACTTACCTCAGAGATAAGGCAGGTTTATAAAACCAAAGCTAAGTCTAAGAATCTAAATGGAAAACATTTTGTGTTCACATAATACAATAACGAGCGATATATGGTACAACTCAAGGAGTTAGCTACTTGCTTCATGAATTTGTCGAAAGTAAATATTAACTTACGGGGTTCTTCAATAAGAATTAAGTTCATCAGAAGGGTGTGCGTCATTTGACCATAATAAGCTTATGGGTGTAAAGATGCTAATTAATTTGCAATTTTTTATTTTGCTGTATTATTTCAAGTATATTTTAGGGATGAATATTTTTTGGTGTATTGATGTATTTAAATTCAGATTGTTTTATGGCATATTTTATAACTATTTATTTTTAAAATAACATTTAGGGTGTATTTTTTGCCCATTTTGTTCTCTACCTTACCTCATCCAACTATTCAAGATTTCATTTGACATACTCAAGTTAAGTGGAATGGCACTGGTTTTATTCCAAATCCCACTTGGATATAATGTTTTGAGGCCTTGATTCCTATATGTCCATGATACATAATGAGCTTTTCACTTATCTTAGCAATAAAGGATTTAACCCTAAATCAAGGAATTCTGAGGTGCAGTTATTAACACTGTTTCTACTGTTCACCACTTCACCATGTCTCATGGCTGAAATCCACACTTCAGCTCCATTCTGGTAGGTCTCAGCCACAAAGATACCCCAAAAGCACTTGTATGTCAAGTGTGAGCCACAAAAATGTCCAGGATACTTGTAACTTGGACTGTTGCAGGTTTCATGTTTATACCATGCTGGAGATGATGCTTTTGCTTGTCATAAGAATCAGTGCTTAGCTCATAATAATTAAGTTTATTACCCATCTCCCTGGCAGCTCATAAAAAACCTGGTCTAATGATTGCGGATAAGAATTACAAGCAGAAACAAGTCAGAGAGCAACCAGTCCTTTGCAGCTTTTGTCCCACAAAAGTGGGCTCACTAAATTCATATAAGATTTATTGATATAGAGGGGCCTGAGCAAGATAAGAAACATCACAGTTAAGTTTTCTCATAAAGTAAGCTCTTACATCATTAATGATGTCAATAGGCAATAAGAAGTTAAATACATAGCATGTTTCCTTAACTAAAATTAATCACATCAAAACACGCCAGTGGATTTACATGTCTGTTTAGACTGGGAAACACTTTACATAGGTCTTACCTATTCTCATCTTCAGGTCTCCTTATGATATAAGAAATTCAACCAGGTGCTCTCTAAGGAATATTCTTAAGTCTTTACACACACAGATCTTCAAAATAGAGGCCAAAGACACATTCAAATAAATCTTAAAAAGAAAGGTAGTTTCTTGGAGCCAGTTTCCCTCATCTGTTCTCTCTCTAGTTAGTCTTAGAAAACTTGGAGTCAAGAGTACGATGTGGAAGCATGTTAGGGGAAAGTTAGCATGGATTTATGAAGACTAAAAATAATATCAGCATCCTCTTTCTGATAACTGGATCTAACAAATAGATTACACTTCCCCTAGTTAATCATGTAAAGGGCATTTGAGCATGTGTATTTATAGTCCTACATTGTAATGGTTAACAAATGGTGATTTAATATTTACTGAGCCATATGCGCTTAATACCACCATCCAGGATCGAAAGCTCACTGAAAAGGGTTAAGTACACAACTGAAAAGGATTTGCTTTACCCAATGAAAAAAGTCTTGACCTATATTGATTGAGCACAAATATTCTTTAATTAAAAATAGTTGAAACACTGCAAAATCTGTAAATGGCAGAATCACTAGTTTGCTAGTATTTTTTTTTCTCATCAGTACTTTTTACTCCTTTTGCCAGGGTAAGAGAAAAAAAAACCACAACTTTCTTGATATTTGGTATGATTTGATGTATTTTTAGTGATCTTCTCCATATATTGGTTTATTTTTAAACTCATAGATATATGCCAGAAACACTGCCGTAGCCAAAATATCAAATAATACGGTCGGAGGTGGTCTTCTAAAGCAGGGATTCACCTTAGCTTATTTCAGGTAGCAAATAAATCAGATTTACTAATGATGTTTAAGAATAGCAATACTCGTTAGACAGCTTGGCATATAAAGTGTCTATAATCAAATCAATGACATAATTGATAGACTACTAGTTCAGACTCTTCTGCTTGACAGAAGTCATTTATCCCAAACCATGCCCGTGAATTTATGTACTCAGTCAACCTGGGAAGTGATTTCCTTGGTTCTTAACCAACCTGTCAGGTATTTGGGGTGAAAATCATATCGTAATGCCATAGAAGAACTGCCTAGAAATAAATCAGCAATCAATTGCCCTTGAGTAATATGCCAGTTTCTAACCAACCTTAATTATTCACACACTCTTCTCTCAGTGAGTGCTCTAGGTGACACGTCACCCAACTCTTAAAAATATCTCAAAGAGGTTTGGAACTTTGTGTTTTGCTAGAGAGAGAGATTTGGCTTAATTAAATGTTTATCAACTCTCTTCCATTGGAGAGGATTTGCTGGATGCTTTTCTTTGCAATTTCTCAGTCAAGCATTTACTGCTTCTGTAAACTATTTCACTTAACTGAATTTACAATGGATTGTTCCCACCATTTGGAATGTGCTAGTTTTGCATAATCTATTCGTAAGTGGCTGTTTCCAATATTGCTTATGGTATCCGTGGGGCTTGTTGTACAGCCTTTTATATATCAAGTTTGTAAAACAGTTGAATGAACTGTTCTTTGAAATTTTATTTTTTAAAAATTTTCTTATGAATACAATATTCTAGAACTGGGAAACGTATTTATTTGGTTATCTCGTTTTTCTTTTGTTGTATTTGATTCTGTCACTCCAGTTAGAATAAAACCATCTTGTGGAAAGACAAGACAATTTCTTTGCATTTATTTGGTTAGATGTTGCAGCACCTAAAAAGGCTTGCCATTTATATAAAGATCATTTTAAGTAATAATGATGAATCTATTTCCAAAACTTATCTATTCCACATGAAGGAAAACCATCCTTCTCAGTGTGTGTAAATGGCACTCATTATGCAGCCAAGTTAGGATCATTCTCCTTAAGCACAATCCATATTCAAATCACAGAACTAGATGCTATAAGCAGTTTTAAAGAAATCCAGGTTGGGGGAAGGGAGGGTAGAAGGGAGTGCCTGGATGGCTCATTCCTTAGAGTATGTACCTCTTGATCTCAGGGTTATGACTTCAAGCCCCACACTGGGTGTGGAGATTTCTTCAATCGATCAATCAGTCAATCTTTTTTTTAAATTAAGGAAATCCAAATACAAATTAAATAATGATTGGTTTGGTCAAAAAAATAGGGCTGAAATTTTTCAATATATAGCAAGTATACACAAGAAAAAAATTGGTATCAAAGATCCTATTAGGGCTCACTCCCCCTTGACTTGGGAGAACAGAATTCCATAAACCAACCAAAGATATCGACTGTTTTGAGCACTGTGCTATGCCCCCAAGAGAAGTTACTGTGACATAAAATTAATATATTAAGTCTGATCAATAGTTAAAAAAATGTTGATAAAACAGCCATCTGTGTGACTATGTAAATAGCAATAAAGTGCTTGAGTGGTCAGGCAATACCTGTCTTATAGGTCAGAACACAATGCTTTAGCTGAGTTGTCATTATAAAATGTCTAAGAAAAATGGTGAAACATAAATCATTTTTGCAGCAGTGAAGTTCTAAATAGGAAGGTGTTAATGAACTGTTGAAACAAAAGCAGTGGTTCCTAACCTAGAAAACAGGCATGGAAGTGGTCTATGAGGTCTGAAACAGTCTGCAAACATGTTTGTCCATATGCTCTCATGTGTGTTCCTGGGATGATGGCTCCATGGCTTTCATCAAAATTTCAAAAAGGTCCTTGAAGCTCTCCCTAACGCTGCACACATACACAGGAAGAACTTCTCTCCCCAGGGCAACACCCCCCAGGGAACAGGAAGGGCTTTTTAATTTCTCCATAGGAAAAAAGCACTAACATTATAAACATACCTATAGAAATACCAGTAACTAAAAAATTTTTCAAAGTATCTAAATAAGTTCAGTGACTTCATTGAACACGATTATTTACAAGAAAACATGCAAGAGATTAAGAAACCATATTTATTTCTTCTTTGGTACAACCAGGGATTTTACCTCAAACCTTGAAAATAAATAACCTCATTAAAACTTATAATGGCAGGATGTTAAAATTCCTTCTTTGCTTCACACAGAAGAGCTCAAAACATTAATGGGCTTGGGAGACAGTACAGTTCAACAAAAATCCAGGATGACTACAAAACCGGCACCTGACCGCGGGGAACCGTGGCAGGCGGCTCCAGGGAGCACAGGCTGCTAGGCGTTTTAAGGACCGGTTCCAGCGGCAGCACTGAGGCTTCTTCCTAACTGGTCTGATAATCCTCTGTATAACCCAAACAGTAATCTGAGAACATCTAAATAAAAGAGGAAAAGAACTACTCCGGCTAAGGAAAACCAAACCAGTCTTCCTTCTTTATTGGCACAGCGGCCCACGATGTGTCCCATAGGCACAGCGCGCTGAATTCAGTTCAACGCCCCGGGAAGAGGATTAGAAATTTATTTAAAGAAAAAAAAAAAAATTTATTTAAAGAGAGGGGTGGGGGGGGGATTGTAGTTGTTTTGTGTTTTGTTTTGTTTTTTAAATCTGATGACTCTCCTGTCGACTCTCCAAAGGCAAAGAAAGAGGATTTATTGGATAGCACCTTGTTTTAAATCCGTCAAATAAGACTTAGGTAATAACGTGGAAGGTAATGCATTGTCGTCTCCTGCCTCGGCTTCGGTGGGGTTTCTACTCCACGCTCCTTTGCCAGGCACGGTTTATGCAGACAGCCACGCGGCACTAAGCTTTTCACTGATCGGGCCCTTTGCTAAATGCCCGTTGCCCAGCCTGCAGGGTGCAGGAAGCTGGCTCGCAAAACCCAGGAGGGCCAGGAGGGCCCGGGGGGCCAGGTACCCCGGGAATTCCTGCCACTCCTGGGGGCCCTCGCTCGCCATCCCGGCCATTCCTCCCGTAGCTGGCAGGACCTGGTTCACCTGAAACACAAACGGTTGCACATGTGAACAGAACCCCGATGGCAGTGAGCTGGCCGCAAGGCACCCACCCGACTCCCTCCCGCAGCCCAGCGGGGTGCACCCAGGGCTTTAGGAAGTGCTTTTGGAAAGGATGGATGAAGATCAATGATGATGGTAAAATTCCTTCACTGGACTTGGGTTTCTTAGAAATTAAAAATGAAAAAATTAAAAATTAAAAATGAAAGGAGGCCTCAGCATCTCCAGTAGGGTAGCCTCACAGTGCCACACAGGTCTGAGCACTGAAATGTGGCTAAGTCAAATTGGGATGAACCGTAAGAGTGTAAAACACACCCGGACTTTGAAAAATGAGTGTAAATTTTATATTAGTGTAATTGTTATTAATGTAATTGTTAGCATAAATGTTATGTTAGTCGCCGTACAGTACATCATAGTGTAAAATTTTAAAAATATATTTCATTAATAATTTCTGTTCTTATTACACGATAAAGTGATAATATTTTAGACACAATGGCTTAAATAAACTATAAAGATTAATTTCACCTGATTCTTTTGACATTGATAATGTGGCTATAGCAGGTTTAAAATTATGCACACAACTCTCCTTGTGGCTCACGTTGTATTTCTCCAGTAGCATCATCCCTAATAGGCGAGCAGTCTCCAGACAGGGAGTACAACTATAGCTCAGTGGTTAGAAGCACAGGATTTAGAGGCAGATAGCTCTAAGTTCTTGCTCTGCCATTTGTGAATAGGGTGGCATTAGCAAGTCATGAATCTTTCAGTTTCTTCATCTCCAAGATGGGATGATACCTTCCTTAAAACTAAATTCCATGTCTGAAAGCCTCTAATAAGTAGGGGCTATTTGATTGTGAGTATATCACTGACGGATGTCTTAGAAGCCTGTGCAGCACACCTGCAAACTTCCCAGATGTTTTCCCATCAGGGGTTCACCCCTGGGTGAACTTTATCATGGCCTGCATTCCTCGGGAGCATTTTGTTCCCTTTGTCATGTACAAAGGTTGTTTGGTCACCCCGTGGGGCACGCTCTCTGAGGCAGGGCACCCCATGGCAGGGAGGAATTTCTGCTGAATGCTTACCCACCCCATCACACCAGCAGTGTTTCCCCACTATTAGCGTAAAGATGGCAGGAAGCAATCGGTGTGAGACAAATTGTAGGTGCCATGATGATACAGTTTTATAGAGATCCTCTTTCCATCTCCGCCCTCCTACCTGGGCCATTCCGCTGAAATAGTGGACTTGTTCGTTTATGTATCTGCTTAGATTCAGTTACTTTCCTTCTTTCTCAGTGGTTTTAGTTTTCTTTTTCTATTTTTGTGGTCTTATTACACATGTCTTTTATTGGTCTTATTATAGTGGTCCAGTCTTACTAAATGGTCTTATTACATATATCTCACATACTTTCATTTACTCATTTTATTTTTTTTAGTTTTTTCATTTATTTGACAGAGAGAGAGCACAAGTAGGCAGAGCAGCAGGGAGAGGGTGAGGGAGAGACAGACTCTCCACTGAGCAGGGTGCCCTACCTGGGGCTCGATGCCAGGACCCTGAGATCATGCCGAAGGCAGACACCTAACAGACTGAACCACCCAGGCGCCCTCTCACATACTTTTAGAAGAAAGATAGATCAGAGATTTTATTTTACATATAAGATCTCATTCTACCTATGATGCTTACAATTAGATCCACACAAAGCAAGAATATAGAACAACACATTATTAAGTTTGAATTATCTTTGATTCTCTCCATCTCAAGCCTATAGATAAACAGAGAGGTAAGTGATTTCCCCTAATCTATCCCATAAGCCTCCATTTAACTATATTAAGTTGTAGTGAAGCAGATGATTGTGTTTTCTTCTAAAGACAAGGGCCCTGAGAAAGTTTTTCCCTAATCAAGAGCACCTGTAAATAAATAAGCCTCTAGCAGAGCCTCTCCAGGTCTCCTGACACAAAGCGTTGTTCAAAGTCGCTCTTTGAAGGTTTAAAAGATAGGCCAGAAAAAGGTGCGCATAAAGGGTAACTTTCACACACCTTAGGTGCAGCAATGTTCCCATGGAGACATACCATGTCTGCCTTCACAAAATCAAATCAGGATGAAGAGGAGAAAATGCCTAAAGGAAAGGTCACAAACCAAATGACCACAGAGGCAAAGCGGATAAGGCAGATCAGGGTAGGCGAACAGGGGGGAACCCAGGAGCCAACCCCTGTTTTTGTAAATAGTTTTAGAACAGAGCCATGGCCATGTGTGTATGTATCACCTACAGCTGCTTTTTCACTACAAGGGCAGAGCTGTCTAACTCCCACAGAGACCGCAGGGCCCACAGATCCAAAAACTCTGGTCCTTCACAGAAAAAGTCTGCTGACCCTTAAGGAAGTAAAGAAATGGCTCTGGATTAAGAATGCCCTGCTGTCTTTACAAGAAGAAAAGTGATAACGCAGGTCTAATGAAAACTGATCTAATGAGAAGTCCCACCTCAGTGGTAGGGAGGCAACAGGGAGGACTGAGGCCTGTGGCAGCTCTGCTCCAGCCCACGGCTGCCACGAGGGAAGATGGGCCAGAGCCTGCAGAACCTCTGATAATTGTCAGGGAAAGCTCGAAGCTGAGTTCTTGAATAGGTCTCTCCATTTCTAAATGTTAGGATTGAAATTTTTATTGAACATTTGTAGAACCTCGTGCCTAAAACCTTAAGGGAACTAAAACCTTAAACTTAAGGGAATTTATTCTCTACTACACACCAATATTAGAAATCAGAAGGAAAGCTTTTTCGGTTTTCCTATGTGGTGCCGCATCACTACACATTCCAGGAGAGGTTTCTCACTTGCTGCATTTATTCCAGATTCCCGCTCATCCTCTGAAGAGAGAGTTGATGAAGCCATCCTGTGTACCCTCGACTTATTTTATGTAAAGCACATCTAGTCCAATTCTCCCTTGGGCAAACACAGCAAGTGACCTTCGGGAGCTTTTATGATGTCACTGTCATCAAGGTCGTCATCCTCATCAACACTTACAAACTATTTCCACTTTACCATGGCCATGAACTGTGCTCAACGTTGATCCTATTCTCCTCTTGTGTGAACTTAGAGTTCAGAAGGCGAAATAATCGTCCATCGTCACATAGCTAGAGGGTGTTGCAGCTGGAAACAAGGGCCCTTCGCCGCCCCTCCAATCCAACCTTACTCGCAGAGCCACTGATGAGCTAATTCTGCCGCGGTGTGTGCGCAACTGCGCGTGTGCGTGCGTGTGCCTGCGCCGCAAGTGTGGGTGGGGTGAGTGTTTTTTCTTTAATTCTTTGCACCTGAGTTGACTAGGAAGTAAAAAGAGGTACAATCAACAAGAGTAGTACTGATTCTTCTGGAGCTCTAAGTGTCCTAAGAAACTAAAGATATTTTTACTGAGGTTTTTGTCCTGTAGAAATGACCAGGGGAAGAAACCAGCCGTCACATAACAGATCGTCAGTTTCCGGTGAGCCCAGACCCTGGGCATTTACTCTCAAATGTTCTTGTTACTGTTTAGGAATGTAATTTTGGGGTGACACTATGTCACAATCCAAATCATTCAAGAAGTCCAGCAGCTTCGTTAGCAAATATCTGTAAACTACCCTCCAACTCCTCAGAAGAAAACAGATCTGAAGTGTTCTCATTGTGCTTTGTCTGCCTCATGGGTGTGTTAGCTGCACTAACCAGCTAATGATTACACAGTTTTCTGAAATTTCAAGGGCCTATAAAAACGTTATGGCCGAACAGTGTTATTTTTAAAAATAAATGTCTGTGTTATTCTCTGTGTGAACACTAGAGGGTAGTCATGTTACACTGACAGAGACCAGTCCCTCCTGGAACATTCTGAAGGATCTAACACGTGGGGCAGAGTGAAAGGGACCGTGTAAAGGCCTTAAAAAACCACCTGCAAGTAATTTTCAGCATTAATTTATCCACGGGTTATGTAAAATATGTGTCAGAGACTTCCTTACAGTTCTCACCTTATGTAGAGCTTACTTTTGTGGTGTTTAACAAGCATATATGTTTAAGGAATTGGCATAAAGTGGTTTGTGTATTTAAGATCCCCACGGCCAAATATAATAGTTGCAGTGATGGAAATAGGATAAATGGCTACTGCTAAACCAGGCTACACTGAATGTGCCTTTGGTTTGGGGCTTGTTGGGGGTTTTTCCACTCAATATTCACAAGCAAAGCTCACCTCTGGGCAAATTTTGCCTAAGAAACCTGAATAGCCCAGTTGCCTAGCATGACCCTGCACAAAGCCAGATCTACCCTTCTCTCCTCATCCAAGAAGGAAAAGCATGTCAGCCCACAAGCCACATTCTTGGTGGTCACAAACTTCTGAGTCCTTATCTATCTGGCTTCTTCCCCTCATGAGTTTGAATGCACAGTGGAGATCAGAACCTATTCTTAAAATGTTTCCTTAAGATCCTCAGAGCGGCAAGGAACTGGTCCCAAGCAGGCAAGTTCAGAGGCAGCAGGCATAGAGGGTTACTCTTAATGAGACAACCCAATCAAGCGATACCACCAAAGGCCTGTGGTAAGTAACTGAAGGTAGGGGCAGGGGGTTGAGGGCCTCTAAAGCCCCAGGGATCTCTATTGTGATCTGCTCTGCTCTGTGAGAGACAAAAAGGAGTCAAGACATTAAATGGTTATGGGACATGCTGAAGTTACGTGGCTAGAGTGGCAAAGACTAAACTAAAAACAAACATGACTGGAGAGCCAGCTCAACATTCTGTCTACCACATGAACCTGGACCTAGGAAGTATGAATCTCTGCCTCTGTCACTGATTACCTGAGAGACCTTTGTCAGAGCAGGTGACCTTTGTAAGTCTGTATATCCTCAAACACGAACAGAGGAATACAAAATGATCATAGCTAAGTTTGCAAAATGCTGGCCATATGCCAGGCACTGTTCTAAGTGTTTCGCATGTATTCACGTGTACGTAGATCTTCCTGAATAACTCTAGAGGGTACCTGAGCGTATTAACCTTGTGACACGGAGGGGAAATGGAAGCGCCAAGAGGTGAGGTAGCTGCAAGCAAGTGACAGCGCAGTTTGTGCACCCTGCAAGCCTGGCTCCAGAGCCCGTCCTCCCTAAGTACCCATTCTGCCTCCCTCGGGCTGTGGGAAACAGACTGGAGGATTCGTGGGAACTTCTTAGACAAAGAGCCCTACAGCCAATCAGTGTGGTGGTTTTAATAATGATCTATGATCCATATGAAGCAGCGTACCATCACAGCCCAAAGGGCCACGAAACACTCAACACTGAACAGAGAGAGATCATATGGAATGGAGACGAAGAGCTAAAACTATCTACAAAGAGCAAAGGAATTCTGATAATTGATAGATAATTAATGCATTAGTTACGTTTTTTTCAAATATATCATATATCAGATATGTTTGCGTCAGAAAGAATGATCAAATGAACTTTTTTCACCCAGGAGGATTTAAGTCCCAAATCCAAGTCCCAATAGAAGACAACAAGGAAAGTTGCAGGATATCCTGCTCTGCAGGTTTCTTTTAGGTACCAGACAAGTCCCTGCACAGAGTGCTATTGGCAGTTCCTCCAGGCCCTAAAGTCCTATTACTATTATGTTTGTGAGAGCCCAGAAACCACATTTCTAATCACATTCCAGGTTCTGCCAGGGAAATTAAAAAGCCCAGCCTCTCAGTGGACAGTGAACTCGTTTAATAATTTACTGTGAACCAGTACTTTGCATTTATGATTTGGAGTCGGAAGTCACCCAACGTCATAGAGCCAGTAAGTGACAGAGTCGGGATTTGAACCCAGGATATCTGAACTGTGGAGCTCCAGATAGCTCACTTGCCCAGTGCTAGCTTAAGGAGACGAATGACTCAAATAGCTCTTGTTTGGGAGTGATGGATTGGGGAAATTGTTAGCTAAGCGTATTCATAGTGTAGATGAGAGAATGTGAGCTGACCTAAAAACCAGAGAAAACCAAAGCACCCAGCTGATGCTTCGAGCACTAAAGCACTTGCAAAACTGCATGCTTTTGAAGTGTGGCCCAGGCTTTTAAAATATAATCTGAAACTCAGATTTCCCATTAAATAATGTCAGATATCCTCTCAAGGGAAATATAATAAAAGCCCAGATTTCAAAGTGGTACCAGGAAGCAAGGGACAAGGACTGGCAAGAGGCAGAAAGGAAAAGGCAAAGGGCAGGTGCCCCAGTCCTGAAATAGCCCACAACCGTTTTTAACAAATCATATTTAAGTATTAAATCCAAGACCAGCTATAACAAATTAATTTTTTCTTAAGGGAGACAAGATGGGGACCAGGCAGAGCTGCCAGGGATGAGCTTGTCCTGCCTTAACCATTGTGCCCAGCCCACATATCTGAGGAACTAAAAAGCAAACCAGGCACGCCCCCTTCTGGGAGAACAATGGCCCAAGAGCACATGGGAACCCCTCCCAGTCAGATTGAGCAACTCTGAGTGCAGTTACTGCAGATGGAGACTGACACGTCCCCTCATGACAGCCTGGGACACTGCATGTACAGAGCTGGGTCTGCCTCAGTCTTCCCATTTGAAACCCAAAACATGGTTTATCAACAGAGTGTTTGAAACTAACAGTCACCAGAAATGGTCATCTATTTTTGCTAAAGGAAAATCTTGTCAAGAATACAAGATGCTGGCCTGAGAACTGTTACATGATTTGTCAACAAAGTGGGAGAAGGAGAAATTGTAAGGCAATCCTATAATATATAGATAATTAAGTAAATTGGAATGATATTTTTATCAGCTTTAAAGCACCTATCGCTACCACTGATAAAGGAGGAAAGCACTCAGTACATTTTATTTCCCTTTCCTCTGCTAAACATCCATGAGTGAATGCAAAATTTATCATACACTGAAATCTTCTCTTGGTCCCGTGTAGTTTCAACCAGATTTTCTTTCCTTTTCCAGTCATAAAACCTCCTTTTCCAATCACGAAAATTTATCAATTTGTGAAAGCATTTTGACAGACCCATGAATCACAGTTTTGCATAGCAGTGTTTGAACCGTCTCCAAATGTATTCATATTTTTAAAAAAAAATTTAATGAGAGAGCAATTCCCAGGAGCAATGAAATGGATAATGAGAAAGCAGTGATGTTTTTGGCTGCAATTAGAAACATGATTGAATAGGTAAGCCTGTCAGAATTGGAAAATGAGCATTTCTTTTTCTAAATTCCCCTACACCAAGATTTCCAAATCCACTGTGGAAGCGTGGACCACCCTTTCTCGGCAGAACCTCTCACCCTGATTCTCCTCAGCTCCAGGGTTTGGAAGACTTACTTAGCCCAGCTGTAAGGGTTCGCTAGGAGGCTGCATGTCATTCGGGCACTTAAACCAAACTGACTTTCTGTGCTGCTTCTGTGGTGGGGCTGGTAGGCCATTTCCCAGAGGATGAATGTGTGGCAGCTTAGGCTGTGGGGACAGAGTAGCCAGTGTGTAAAGACAGAACAGGCGCCCAGTGTGCAAAACCAGGCTCTCCACACAGAGGCAACTTTGTCACTTCAGCCAGCGCAGCTGTGATACGTGGCTCGTGCATGGTTCTTTGTGGCTATATGAATAGGAATGTCCAGGTTTATTTTATTTATTTACTTTGGATATGGGTTTCTGGAGGGTCTGGATATTTGAAACAGGAGCTTGTAAAATAAGACTTCGGTTACCCCCTATGCAACATGAGTAGTTTGAAAACTTGGATTAATTTTCTTGTTGCACTGACTTTTCGGTTAAAAAAATAAACGAGAAACTATCAATGAGGCTAACAACGGCTAGGGCCTCATTCATTCAGAATTTTCTAACAAGTGCATTGTGGCTGGACCTTGACGTGATTTTTTAAAGTCATCTATTCAAGAAATTAATATTTTAAGCTCTGACACTTGTTTTCTCATGAGGAACACAGGCATGAAGGAGAACCTGGGTGGCTCAGTGGGTTAAAGCCTCTGCCTTCGGCTCAGGTCATGATCTCAGGGTCCTGGGATCGAGCCCCACATCAGGCTCTCTGCTCAGCAGAAAGCCTGCTTCCCCCCCTCTCTCTGCCTGCCTCTCTGCCTACTTATGATCTCTCTCTGTCAAATAAATAAATTCTTTTAAAAAAGAAAACATTTTAAACAATTAAAAATAAACAGGAGGGTGCCTGGGTGGCTCAGTGGGTTAAGCCGCTGCCTTCGGCTCAGGTCATGATCTCAGGGTCATGGGATCGAGTCCCGCATCGGACTCTCTGCTCAGCGGGGAGCCTGTTTCCCTCTCTCTGCCTGCCTCTCTGCCTACTTGTGATCTCTCTCTCTGTCAAATAAATAAAATCTTAAAAAAAAAATAAACAGGAAACTACCAATGAGGCTAACAATGGCTAGGACCTCATTCATTCAAAATTTTCTAACAAGTGCACTGTGGCTGGACCTTGACATGATTTTTTAAAGTCATCTATTTAAGAATTAATATTTTAAGCCCTGACACTTGTTTTCTCACAAGGAACAGAGGCATGATTGACAATTCTTTTAACTCTTCATTAAAGTTGGTCTTGAAAAATCTGTGCCAGCCGTTACTGAGAATCACATGACAGGTATAAGTAATTAAAGGGCCAGTCTTTATAATGGTATCCAATTCAGACTGCACACTCGCTACCAATTTCTCAACCCAGTGCTGCCATATAACACACTTACCTGGGAGACCTGTTGCTCCGGGCAAGCCCTTCGGACCTCTTCCTGGAGGGCCACGTTCCCCCCTTTCTCCCAAGTCACCTGCATTTCATTAGAGAAATGTTATTTTTCTGTATGCTTATAAAAAGAAAGTTCCATATTTTTAAACTTTCAGCAGACGCAGCGTTGAGAAAGCAAAATCTCATGAAGTTGCCACAAATGAGGTTATAGTAAATACATAGCCAGGCAAAACATAAGTCAATTATATGAAGAGATCTAAGGGGAAAAATCAAATAATCATATTCATTAAAGGATAAACAAAACTAAAATATCTAATGATCAACATTCAATAAACCAAGAATCAAATGCTGCCTCCTTAACATGATAAAATGTATCTACCTCAACCGGAGAGTTAGGGTAACGCCTATTGGGAAACATGAGAAGCAGTTCCACTACACACACAGCATCACAGAGATGCCCACATTATCATCAGTATTTGTCATTTAGTTTGAGAGTCTAAAACATCCCTCTTTTTAAGTGGTATCAGTGTGTATCCTAAATCCTTGAAAATCAACTCAAAATCTACCACAAGCAATGAGAGTAATTCAGTAAAGGAGCAAGATACAAAATTAATATATGAAAACCAGTTGTTTTCATATATACAAACAACCACCAGAACTAAGATGTAGTGAAAAAATATCCCATTTATAATAACAATTAAATTAATAACAAGGAAGAAGTTTAATCAGAAATATGCAAATCCAACATTAAAAAATTAACATTTCTGAAGGATACAAAAGGACTTGACAACTGCTCGTAGGTGGAATGACATCATCACAAAAAGGTGTTGAGATCTCCCTAAGATGAAGTTTCATCATGTTCCCAATAAAAATTTTTTTAACCAAAAAAGGGAATTCTGAAGTTTGTACAGAAAAATGCATAAGCCACAATAGCCACAAAAACTCAAAAAAGAAAAGCTATATAAGGGAATTAATCCTACCACATATTAAACCAATTAACATGGTGTGGTACTGGTACATGAATAGATAAACCACTGAAACAGCCTAAAAACAGGTTTGGATACATAAAGGATTTTGTTTTGTAATAAACATGCCATCTTAAAGTGGGAAGCAGTCAAACAAGTCAATAAATGGTGTTTGAAAAAGTGGGAAGCCAGCTGGAAAAAAAAATAAAGTTGAATCTGTTCCTCACAACATAATCCGGGATACATTACAAGTGGATTGAACATTTAAATCACACATTTAAATGTATAAGAACCAGAAGAAAACAAGGGAGAATTATTTTATAACTTCAGATTTGAGTTGGCCTTTCTGTTATGATTCAAAATACAAAGAGTTCCTAAAATCTACACAAAAAGGTCAACAACAATAAAAGAATATATAAGCAAAAAAGCCACTAAAAGGAAACAAAAATAAGTCTGGAATATATGAAAGATTCCTTGACTTCACTCTCACATCAAAATAAATGGAAATTAAAAATAACACAAAAGCTACTTTGAATTATAAGATCGGCAAAAATTCCAGAGTTGAATCAAACATATGCTAGCAAGTATGTGGAAAAACACATCGTTACATATTGCTAATAAGACTACAAACTCAGACAGTCTCTTGGAGAGTAATTTAACAATATCTATCAAAATTACAAATGGTAGTACCATTTTACCTGGCAATTCCACTTCTGGGCATTTATCGTAGAAACATAAAGATTATGTTGATATTTACACAAAGATGAAATTGTGTGGTCCATAGCAGCCTTGCGGTAATGGCAGAAGATGGGAAACTAAATGTCCACGAGAGGGTTAAATGCGTTATGCTACTTCCGCAAAATGGCATACTATGCAGCTATGAAGAAGAACCAGGAAGCTCTTTAAAATGATCTCAAAACATATTGTTCAATGAAAAAATTTAAGGTCCAGATCACTACTAAAGGGCAATACGACTTGTTTCTAAAAGGCTATAGGGAGTGTATATAACCGTATATTGTACATCATCACTGGTAAAGATATGTAGGAAACTAATAAAAGGGATTATCTCATGGGAAGGATAAAGGAATCTAGGCAGATGGGAGACCAGAGTGGGAGAAAAACTCTTCAGTAAATATCTTTTCATATATTTTAAATTCTCAAACATTGTAAATTTAGTATTGCTGAAAATAAATTAATGAATTTTCAAAATTTAAAATGTGCTATCACAAGTGCCCACGTTTCACTTGTGATTCATTATTTACAGGCATTGTGCTTTGGATTACAACCAACCATGTTTATTTGCAAGACAGTTGATTTTCAGCCACAGAACCAAGTTTAATTATCCTGGCCCCTGCAGAGAACCCAGAAACTTGGCCTCATTAACAAAGCGCCCTAATACCTAGTCAACTGCTCCTAAATGACGTTTATGGCTCCTAGTAGAAGGCATTATTTTACTGTCCCATTGGCATAGTATTATATTATCCCACTACTCTTGTAGAAGATGCAGTGCATTTTGCAAGATTCTATACAAGGTCATTTTTTCCAAACATTTGTATCAGCCCAACTTGATTCAATATTGAGTCAAGTTTGTTAGAATTTTAAAAAACAAAAGCATGCATGTCAAAACAGTAAAAAACAAAAACAAACAAACAAAAAAAAACAACTCTAATTATGAAGTGAATGTTTAAATAGTCACCATACTTTGATTTTAGCTGTGAATGTCCTTGTATGAATATTTTTTACCGTGAATCAAATATATTTTAAAAACAATTTTAAAATTATATAAACACTATGTAAGGATACAGAGCTCAAGTTGAACTCATTCACATAAGCTGTTTTTTTACACTCATGAATATGGCCTTACTATATTAGGAAGATAACGATAATTAGCATTTTAAAAATGAAGAACTTGAGTGCTCTTGTTAACTTAGCAATTTAAATGTCATATCACTGTAATTCTGGAGGCTAGCAACGAGAAGAGAACCAATAAATGTGCCACATTTTCCGAAGATAGGGGAAGATTATAAATTAAAATGTAACTTTCACGCAAACCGTCAAAGTTAAATACTTTGTAGCACGAAGCCACATCCCCTTTAAAATGTCGCTTGCAAGGAAGAAGACTACGGTCTTAGTCGTGATCCCGCCTTGTGGTTGTCATCAATTGTAGACACACAATTTTTAGAGGGGCTCCAGGACAGAGGCACAGGGCAAGCTGCTGGTTCTTCACAGCCCAGGGAGCTACGGCCTGGCTCTGTGATCCCCAGGGTCAATCCGCTCCTTCAAACCCTGATCATGGCTTCTTTTGACATTTCTGAAAACTAGCTCAGGGAACTAAAGGTGCACCTTTATTAGCTAGCCTACTGTGCGGAAAAACAGAGGGAGCTTGTCAAATGAGCTTTAGATAGGTAAAAAGGGAAATGTGCTGTGTAAGTAGCAAAACAGCTCCGTCTGAACAGAGTGGCTAAAACGAAAGAAATTCTCATTGCTCTATGGTTGCTCTTTCATTTATTTGAAAGCTATAACTGACACTCCAACCCCATGCAAGCTAATACCAAAAAAAGAGTTAGTCACGGTAATGACGTGTATATTTTCTCAAGCCGTCATTTACGTGGTGACACATCTGTTTGACTCACACAAAAATATCTAAAAACAGATATATAGCCTTACTCAAAGGAACTTAAAATTAATCCAAACCATGAACATTTAAAAATAGTATTTATGACACAATTTATGACCCAGAAGACCAATACTAAACAAAGTGAATATAAAGCCAATTAGATATCTCTCATGTTTCTGCTTGAGTAGACATATAAAATGTACCCGTGGCATGGGTCTTGGCCCTCTTTGTATAATATTGCACAGAACGTGTCCATGAAAAACAAAAAAGTTATAAATATGATTTAAGATTTGAGTATGATTTCTGGCACATATTTCTACTAGCTCCTACTGAAAATGTTTCACTGTGTTTTTCAGACTAATTGCTTAGGAAAAAATGATTTTATTAAAGACATAGTTTGAACTACTCAAAGCTTTAGTAAAATTTATTTGTTCATTATCTGTGTAGTAATTTCCTTGAAAAAAGACTCTCAAAGTAATATGTTGACCAAGGCTCAGACTATCCCTTTATTAGGCATGGGAAAAAGACAGCAGGGGACACTGAAATACATCTCTTCTCTAATTGGCTGAATAGTTAAGTTTCCAAATGCTGGACTATTTGTTCTCTGGGAAAAATTGACCTGTAACCTTTGGCTAGTGGGACATTATATGTTTTCAATTAAATATTACTGTTATAATGTATGTGGTAGGACAAGAAAGGTCAAGTCTGGTTACCTAGAATTCTACATTTCCAAATTTGCAACAGCATTGATTGATAAAATCCAAAGACAGTACTCCTTCCTTCCCACACCCCAAAGTTCAAGAAGTAAAACAGAAAAGATCCTGCTTTAAAGGAACCCCAGTGATTATAAAGGGATGGAGGAAGGTGGGGAAAAAAGTCCTTCAGAAAAAAGAAAGACTATATCTCTTCGATATTATAGACTATGTCGTAAATACTAAAAAAAATTAGGGGGAAGTCTCTTAGACGATCAAACAATGCTTGGTGAATAAACTCTGTGCCAGGGGGCATTCTCCAGTTTCCAAATATAGGAATATATTTTTCTTCCCTTCAAAATAAAGTCCATCTGTTAGAGCCAAGTGAGCCCAACACAGCCACAATTCAGTGCTTCTAGGAGCTTCCCAGGACACTTCCTGAACATTTCACCTTTGTTTCCTGTGGTTTCCAACCCTGGTTGTATATTAAAATCCCATGGGGGTGTTTTTAAATCCTGCTGCTCAGACCTATTAAGCCAGAATCTGGGAATGGGATCCAGCCGTAAATAGTTTTTAAAACTCCCCAGATGATTCCACGGTGCACCCCAGGCTGAGAAACACAGCCTTAGGCAGACGCTACTAGCATAGCAAGTAGACATAGACATTCTTATTTCTTAGAAAATAAAATGGAACTTCAGGTGAGTTCTCTTACTAACTCAAAGTTAAGCTTTACCCCACATATGAAGACTTCCTTTCAGCCAAAGAAAACAGGGCTGGGATTCCTGTAGCCCCTACAAGGCGTTTCCTTTTGGCAGGAAGATGGGTGACTGCCCTACACCAGTGCCTTCAGCATCAGATTCACCGGGAGACTTGTTAGAACGCAGACTGCTGGGCCTCGCCTGCAGCGTCTCGGATCAGGGGTACCGGGGTGGGCTGGAGAATCTCTATTCCAGATGGGGTCCCTGGCCGTGCTGACGCTCCAGGGGGCACACTCTCAGAACCACTGCTCACAAGGGAACTGAGGAGAAAGGCTGAGGAGTCACCTTAGGCTCTGGTGCCACAGAAACAACTAAGTCAACAATCCACTCAAGGCAGCAGAGTTTCTTGGAAACCAAACAGAGTGAATGGGGACTAACCACAGAGAGAGTCCCACTCCTGAGTTCCTGAACCAGGAGCTAAAAGCAGGACAAAGATGAGCGGCGATGTGCTTCTTTCAAAGAAAATACTCAGTTCTCTTTAAGAGCTCTGAGCTCTCTCCACATTTGATTTTGTCCAGCCTCTGAAAGCTCGGAAATCCTGCCAGCCTTGCAAGAGGCTCCAATGAGGGGTCATTTTTTCACATATGGCAATGCACATGCCCCCCCCCCCGCCCAAAAAACCCAAACATAATTAACAAAATTGTTCCAGCTGAGAGTGTAGTTAGCCAAACACATCAGCAATTCATTTACAGATCCAAAAAGGCAGCTTGCTTGCCCTCTGACCCTTCACACCATAATATTTATCCCTAATTGGTGCACCACCATTTAAAAAAAAAAACCCTCTCCTGTTTCTGATGCCACATCTTTCCGAAGCTCCCTAGAGAACTGTCAGTCACTTGCCAAGATAGAGAAATTCCTCATTTTGTTCCACGCTCTCTATCAGGGATCCGGGCCACAGGCCCGCCCCACATTGACACACTTACTCACCTCGACTAGTAAACAGCACCTGAGGCAACCAGTCCTTCTGCGGGGCCTGCTGCATACCTGACACACCCACAATACCATTTTGGTTTTTTGTGGGTTTTTTTTTTTTTTTTGGCAAAACACTGATTTTAAGGGCTTAACTTGCTTTCGATAAAAGGGGAAGAAATAAACTGCCTCACATTCCTTCACATGTTAAAGAAGGAAAAATTAAAAAAAAAAAAAAGAAGGAAAAAAGTTCGATTGTACTTCTGAGCTGAAAAAAAATCCATGAAAACTAAACATCTGATGTCACTCTTTAAAAGAAAAGGGGGTTTCACTTCATGATGTAATTTATGTCTTCTGACCTGCTAACAGATGTTGTTAATTTAAGTTACAGTTACAAACATTCTAAGGCTGGTTGCCATTTTAGAAGACCTCTACAGTGATTTTTGAGTCTCAAAAAAAAAAAAAAAAAAGGCTGACTTATCGTTTACAAGATCCCGTAAAGTTTATTTTGAACTATGATTGAGGTAGAGGGTAACTGAAAAGGATCAGTACTAAAAATCAAGGGACCTTAATTCTAGGTTTTGGTCTCCTGTTGACATACAGCAAGGTCAAGAGGATGTCTTATAATAGTTTTCTGATCGTGTTGATCCCACTGTAGAAGAGAACGATACAATGGACATTGGGGAGGGTATGTGCTATGGTGAGTCCTGTGAAGTGTGTAAACCTGGCCATTCAGACCTGTATCCCTGGGGCTAATAATACATTATATGTTTATTAAAAAAATTTAAAAATTATATAAAAAAAAGAACGATACATCTCCTTGTCTCACAGGGTATCTAGAGCTTGGAAGGACATGTGGATATATCTGAGGAAGGACAGTGTTTGTTCTTTTGTTCTACCCGGGCAAAATGGCTTACCTTTAGGCCCCCTCAAACCAAGAGCACCAGGAGGGCCTTTAATGCCTGGAAGGCCACGAAGTCCCATCTGGCCTGGGAAACCATTCTCTCCAGGCGGCCCTGGGGGACCAGGGGGTCCAGGCCGCCCAGGGAGGCCAGAGACTCCTGAGTCCGGTCGCTTGAGACTAGCAGCCATCTCAGCAAGATGCTCTGAAAGATAATAAACCGGCCCAGAGAAGTCAGAAACATGAAAATGATTCAAATGAATAAAAGGGGGGGGTGGTATTTCAAGTGTCTTTTTTTCTTAAATGTGTCACCAGAGCTTCAAAATTGGTGGTGGGAAGTGAATAAAGTTGGATCTTTTTTTTTTTTTTTTCATGGACTTTCTGCCAAGAAACTTCCCTGGTGCTGTTTTATTCAGCTCTTTTTGGATATATTTGGTCCTGCTGTTCTGAGACAGGGGCAGGGAGATTTGAAAAAAAATACACGGCAAGGCTTTCAGGTGAGCAGTGTTCTAAAAGGATGAGTCTGTCACCTGAGTTCTGGCTGGTTCTCTGAAAACCCAGGATGGGCAGAAAATGAGTTTCTTAACAGAGAAGAAGTGGATGTCACAAAGCTTTTTAAAAGCCAAGGACATTGTCCAGAATTAGTTTTGAGAGAGCATTTGAGACCCAGCCCCACATTTTCAGTCTGAAGATATTAAGTGACCTAAAATATCCTGAGCATTCATGACTTCTTCTAAATTCCCCTCTCAAAAGTTTTTTCATGTTTGGAGTAGACAACAGACATTAAAAATAGCCCGCTTCTTGGGAATGTTCACAGTCTGTCTTAAAAATTAATAACTGTGTGGGCTTTTTCAGGAACCATTAAAGAGATTAAGAATCATCCGCTGAAACCATGAAGAGGAAGAAAACTTGCCTATGAAAACACTCTAAGGGAAATATGCCGATGTAATATTTTTTAAAGGTGTGAAGGAAATTATGAATTGGAAACAAATTTCTAAAGAACATTTTAAAAGTGCTTAAATGTGAGCATTCTGGTTTGCCTTATGTAAGTAAGAGTATAAAATTATAATTTTCTAGGGATATAACGTTTAAAATTGAAATATCCTTTCAAGATTAAATGTATTCCATGAAGAGACTTACATTGCTTTTCTTTTTTTTTATTTTATTTTTATTTTTCAGCGTAAGAGTATTCATTATTTTTGCACCACACCCAGTGCTCCAGGCAATATGTGCCCTCTCCAATACCCACCACCTGGATCCCCCAACCTCCCACCCCCCACCCCTTCAAAACCCTCAGATTGTTTTTCAGAGTCCATAGTCTCTCATGGTTCACCTCCCCTTCCAATTTCCCTCAACTCCCTTCTCCTCTCCATCTCCCCTTGTCCTCCATTCTATTTGTTATGCTCCACAAATAAGTGAAACCATATGATAATTGACTTTCTCTGCTTGACTTATTTCACTCAGCATAATCTCTTCCAGTCCCGTCCATGTTGCTACAAAAGTTGGGTATTCATCCTTTCTGATGGAGGCATAATACTCCATAATGTATATGGACCACATCTTCCTTATCCATTCATCCGTTGAAGGGCATCTTGGTTCTTTCCACAGTTTGGCGACCGTGGCCATTGCTGCTATAAACATTGGGGTACAGATGGCCCTTCTTTTCACTACATCTGTATCTTTGGGGTAAATACCCAGTAGTGCAATTGCAGGGTCATAGGGAAGCTCTATTTTTAATTTCTTGAGGAATCTCCACCCTGTTCTCCAAAGTGGCTGCACCAACTTGCATTCCCACCAACAGTGTAAGAGCATTCCCCTTTCTCCACATCCTCTCCAACACATGTTGTTTCCTGTCTTGCTAATTTTGGCCATTCTAAGTGGTGTAAGATGGTATCTCAATGTGGTTTTAATTTGAATCTCCCTGATGGCTAGTGATGATGTACATTGCTTTTCAAATATAAAAGTGACAATTTCATTCTGGAAAACTCTACAAGTCTACTAGACAAATGACACTATTTCATGAGCTTGCAAAAGAAGAGTATTTATCATGACTGAATTGGTTCCAACAAGAATAGGGTAATTATTTGTTAGAAGGGCCCAATGTTACAGGATCTCCCCAGTTCCTGCCTCCCCAATTTCTTCCTTTTCTATGTGATTTTAAAACTAGACCAATTCTAAAGCAGCTATGACAAATGGCAATTGCTATAGGTATAGATGAATTTAGTAAAGGTTAACAAATATAAAAATATATCACCATTTCGGTAAAATACAGTTATTGATTTTCTGTACATGATACATGAGTGGAGATAATGTCCCAATGCTTCTTACGGGCATGAAGACTGTCAGTTACTTCACACGGAAGCTACAGAGAGAGGCAGGGTCAGTGCCAGGAACACACTAAGTGGTAGGATGTTAAGGAGGTAAGATACCTGAGAATCTGTGTTCCAAAATGTGTGTGGGGGGGAGCTTGTCTGTATTTGTGTGTGTGTTTTCTTGTAAATTAACCTCCTTAGCAAAAAACAAAAACAAGAACAAAAATAGGCTAACCAAAGGGTGCCTGGGTGGCTGAGTTAGGTTCAGTGTCTGACTCTTGGTTTTGACTCAGGTCATGATCTCAGGGTCATGAGATCAAGCCCTGTGTTGGGCTTCATGTTAAGTGGGGAATCTGCTTAAGACTTTCTCTTCCTTTCCCCCTGCCCCTTCCCCCGCTTGCTTGTGTGCTCACTCTCTTACTCTCTGTCTCTCTCAAATAAATAAATCTCAAAAAAAAAAAAGGGCTAACCTAGAAAGATAAAATTTTTCTTTGAGATTATAAGCTATTTGTGGCAATACATTAACTAAAACAATTAATATTATTTAAAATCTCCCACCTTTAAAGCACATGAAAAGTCAAGACATTATGATTTATTTACCTTGCATGACTCTCATGCAAACCTGCTTAATGTGCTGATCTGTCGGTGCTCTACCCTGAGACAGAAAAAAAAAAAAAAAAAAAAAAGACAGTTTATACACAGAACCATAAAGAAGACATCGTTAAATGGTAACCTGACAGACTCAGCAAGTGGCCAGGTGGCTGGATTTACAAATGAACTTGCCCACACTGCTAAGGAGCTGATGTCTGGGCTAGCCTGGCTGCCCGCCCCGCTTCTGGTCCTGTGAGATGGAGTGTCCAAAGGGAAACCATGGAGACTGCCCACCACTCACTGGGGGGCCCTGGATGCCAGGCAGGCCGGTGGCACCCTGCTCTCCCTGCATGCCTCGTGGTCCAGGTGGTCCTCTTGGTCCTTCTACTCCAGGAAGCCCCCGACTTCCTTCAGGCCCCCTCAAGCCAGGCTCCCCAGGGTTACCCACCTAGAACAAAATGGCACATTATAAAACAGAGCTATCCACAAGTAATGTGTCTGCTTAATATTAATACAAGACTTACATGAAATTTGGAGTTTGCTTACATTCTATCTCCCCAGAGGTGTTTGTTCAGAGGTTACAAATTCTCAAGGTAAAGACACAGAATGCCACAGTATCTGAGAATTCCAGTTCAAGTAAAGTTTTTCAAAATCTTTTTCTTTGGTGTAGCAGTTATTTCAAAATGTTAATTGAAATAATGCATTTTAAAACTACATTCTCTATATTTTAAGCTACTCCCTAAGAACAAGTTAGTTTTTAGTAAGATTTGTTAAGTTTTTCTGGCCACAAAAAGGCCACTGAGTTCATACAAGACATGTTACTTTGTATATCACCAATACAGAAAGCATAAAATAAAGTTATTTCCAAGGACATAAGTTATTTAGTTTTATAACACTCTAGAGAATCTGAAGAAGCAGATGTATCCAGGAATTATAAAATACATTAATTAAAAACATTTAAAATGCCACCTTTAAAATGCTGCACTTAAAAGGAATATATTGAAAATACTGGAACAAAAAAGAGTGAGTCCATAATTTATCTGACTCTTGAGGAAGTTAAAAATCTAAATATTAAAGAAGTGAAAAAATAAACCAACTGTTTCCTTTGAACAAAAGCGTATACTAGTTAGATTTTTTTTTTCTGATAGCAGACCACTAAAAGCATTTTTGAAAGTCCCCATCTACAATAACTGTTTTAAAACGAGACTAAATTAATTCACTTTCTGCTAAACTGCCTCTGGTAGAATTTATGACATAGTAGTTACAATGTGCCCTTGTTTATAGAACAAAAATGAGAAGATAAAAGGACAGGAGCATTAAAGAGCACTAGGGCTCAAGGTAAAGTTCATAAAGCAACTTAATCCTGCTCCTTGTTCATTTGCAACATTTATCTAGGAAGAGCTAACTCTTCCAAATGGTCAGATGTTTAACCTGAAGGGAAGAAGGTGATGACGCCGGGCTCTCACTAGACGCGTCTGAATAAAGCTTCACAAGTAGGCTTTTTCCAATCTTCCTTTATGCAAAAAATTGACACTCATCTGAGTCAACTTGTCAGAATTGCTTCTGTGAAGAAATTATGGCCTCAAAGACTTCCCAAAAAGACAGTGTCAACAGAGAGAGCTGCAGATGTGCTTTGGAGGCTTTGGACCTGTCAGATAGCTGCAGTATAAAACTATCACAGCTTCTAAAACAAGCCTGAGGAGAAGCCAAAATGAATTTAGAAGTGCGCTCAAGAATTGGCAGAGGAACAAAGGAGGCCAGATCAGAATCTATCATCTTGTTGACGATGTCTGAAATACCGACAGGACATTTTCCATGAAGACATCAAGGGCCAACATGGCCAGTATACCTCAAGGGCCTCGGGTCTTTGGAAAGAATACCTCAGTTGAGTGCTATACTGAAGTAGAAACTGGTAGTAGGGGACAGTTCACCTACTTATCAGGTTTGTCTCTGCTGAGATCACTGAGCAAAGTGAAAGTGTGTCTCCCTGACTCTGGGACAACACATTTCAGCTGCCTCAGCAGTAGGTGGGTGGTGTCAGAGAAGAGAGGGGTAGGAAGGGAGGTGACAAATCAAGCGTTAATTCCAAATTTAAATGAAATTAACTCCTTTTGACCACTGCATTGTTCATTCACTTTTTCCTCTTATAACAAATTCTTAACATTGAACATTATCGATTATTTCTAGGCAGTGAGGTAGGATTTCTATTACCAAATCTGATCGAGGTTTACTCTTCCCAATTGTTTCTCAATCCTAAACCATTCCTGTCAAAGATTCTCGGGTGTAAAGATGTTACTTCAAGCTTGAGACGGTCAGTGGTGTTTAGAGGCAGTGTGTAAACAGGTGAGTTAATACACCATAATGGTTTCCATCTCAGGGATATGTAAAGAGCCCAGGGCTGGCACTACACCCAAGTCCGGGGCGGGAGTCCTCCGGGGGAGAGTTGAGCTGAGGATCGGGCTACATGCCTAGGTAGGAGGTAGCTATTCTAAGGAAAGAGGAAGAGTGTTCCAGGCTAGGAGAACAGCACAAGGCATTAAAGAGCATGCCAAGTAAAAACAACCGCAAACCGATAAAGTTCCAGATGGGCAGAGAGGGGTTGGCAAGGCAGAGACCACTTCATGAAAGACTGTGTATTTTGCTGAGGTCTGATTTGATTCTATCAAATGTTATTCCTGAAGGGTTTATGCAGAGGAGGGATAAATGGTGGGCTTTATATTTTTCTCTAGATTACACTGGCTGCTATGAGGATAATGTGCTGTGTAGGGACAGAGAAGAGTGGAAAAGATTCCAGAAATAGGAAGGACTAAAAGATTAAATGGAAGCTAGTGGTGGTGGCATTTGAGGTTAAGGTCTGAGCTTCATCTTTTCCCTTATACTCTCTTAAATTTCTTACTGTATTAAATGTACATTCCTTTCAAATTAGTGAATCATCCCAGGTTTGCTAGTTCTCTAATTGGTTCTAATACTCAGTTCTAAAATTTTCATTCTAATAATTGGTTCTATTATTGGTTCTATAATTCTGAATAATCTAATCTTGAAGGACATCAGCTTAGCTTCTGTAAGACGATGAATGAGATGATCATTTTCTAGCTTTAACAACTGTCTATTAAATTTTCTTATGCATTATGACTTTATGTTACTTCGCTAAATAGAACACATGGGAGATTAATAAAATTACTGAAATATTTGCAGTGGTATGAGTGACAATGAAATTCATTTATACTCTTGTCACCACAACGGATAAATCAGTTTTTTTTTTAAATGACTCGTTTGTGAAAGAAACTACCATGTATACTCATTGAGCTACTTATGATAAAAACTTCCTTTAGAGTGGATTGTTCAAAAGGCAGATCCATTTACACTGTTATGAGGTGGTCCCCTCCCCCACTTGGGATGAATCCATTACTTAAAGAATAAATTTAGACATTAATCTCCTTGAAGGTAAGTCCTTTAAGAATTGAATTTCATAGTGATTTCATAAAGCAGAGCATTGCAGTTTCTATAGCTTTATTGATATTTTAATTTTTTATACCATTGTTGTTCATGGTACTTACAGATCCCTTTGGCCCAGGTAAGCCTATCTCTCCCTAAATCAATAAAACAAAATTATATTAGAACAATGCATTCACATTTGATAGTTTACTAAAAACATTTAAAAGGTGATTATGCTGCTGAAATCAATAGAAAAACATGAAGAGATGAACTCTGGCACTGCCAAAACACATGAGATTCAAAATTTGGATTCTAGTCCCAGTTCTGTTACTTTGTGAGCTTTGTAACCTCCTAGCCTTTGACTGACATCTGTTAAATAACAGGGCTGAATCGGAGCTCTGCCAGGCTCCAACCAGGTCTAAAATGCTAGGTGTTGAGACTTAAAGTGTATAAGTCAAAAGACATTAAACTAGCCTGCTGTTTTAAAACAGATAGACATTTAAATCTGATGACTTTATTTCTGAAACTCTAACAGTATTGTAAAACTCATCCGCAAAATTCTATCAAACCAAAAATGCCTGGTTTTATACTTAAAAAAGAACACTTGGAAATAAGTCTCCCACCCCTAATTCTATATATGATTTCAGCTTAAGTTCAAGCATATCAGTTCATCTCCACCACAAAACAATGATTTAAAACATCCTTTTAGCCCATAAAATAAAACATTTTAACAGAAAATAAAATTAAAATAATCCTTTTTCAAATTTAATTATAAATATATAAAATTTATAAATTTATAAAATTAATAGAGAGCTTTGCCTAATTCAGATATTACATTTATATTAGCTCTAAATCCTGAAAATCTGAATAAAACAACATTATGAGGTACTTTTTCCTGCACAAAGTGCTCTCTGGAGCTGTTTTATGAGAAATCTGTCAGCACTCCAAAGGACCAGTCAGAAGTTCCCACATTAGATCATGTTAGATTGTGTCAAAAATGAGCCAGCAGATGTAGTACTCCCGGCAGAAAGATAATTTTTTCTCATTCTTGCTGCCTTCCTGGAGATTTAGCAGCAGCATCCTCTGGCGATGGAGGTCACTTCTTTGGAAAGTTTTAGATGACAGAAAATACCCATGGTCAAACTTGTGAACCACAGCTTTCTAGCTATAATAAAATTCATTTTGTTTCCACAATAGGCACTATTCATTGACTTTCCATAGTCCTCTAAGAATCACTTCGAATGTCTAGGTAAAACCAGAGAAGAGTCACCACCTATAAGAGAACACTTTGTTCTCCAAAGGCTTAAGGCCAAGGCTATCGATTTTGGAATGTTTACCCTCTGCTTTACTTGAACTTGGCTACAGTCTTGGGGAGTCATTCATTAGTTTATATAAGAAACACTGTAGCTGCTGAAGAAGCCATGGGGGATAACAGTATCAGAGAAAAGAAAAATTATATTTTTAGTACAGTTAGAAATCAGCAGGGCTCATCATTAACCAGAACAAAATGTCTTACAAGTTCACCCCTTTCTCCTGCTTCACCTTCTTCACCAGACGAACCCTAAAAATTAAAATTAAAAGTCACATTCTTGAACTGTCTTGCCTCAGTTTTAAGCTGTCCACATTGATAAGCATTCCCAAGTGCCCACAGTGCCCCCCAGATCATGCAGAAATATAAAATGCACTCAATGGCTTTTCAGTGTAGCTGTCAGTGGCTAGTGCAATCTGAAAAGAGCCTAGAGAAAAGGTAGCAGGTGAGGCTGAGTTTCTTCTAAAATTAAGGATTAATTATTGTATCTGGCAATTTTATAATGAGGTAATCCTTGAAAAAAGGCTTTCACTGTAGAAAAAGGAACCCAGAAAAAGGACTAACTCTAAGTCATATTCTTAGTTCATTTGTTAAGGTCTTGATACAGAAAAACATAAAATATGATGATATAGCTAATAGAAGGCTCCATCGGTCACAAGTAAGCCAACCTGGTGAATGAGAGCGAGGGACACTCTTTTTAATGTGTGGTCTCGGAGGCAGAGTCATCATCAGCTCCAGCTTATTAAAATAGTAGATAAGGTTATAGACCAAACTGAACTGTAGCTTTCATTCACTATGAAGCACATTGAGAAACACAGTTGGCCTCCAGCCTAGTCCTCACACCCCTAAACCAGCCAGTGCCCCCTGCTGGTGAGGCACCTCCATGCACGTCACTGACCGCATCTCATATTCTTCTGATACGACCTACCTGTACACCCTTTGGACCAGGCTCACCGACTACTCCCTGTAATGAATAAAACATAATACTTTTTCAGTATTTTGACATGTTCAACTTTATAATTTCGAATGAACCAACTTTCCTTCTCACGGTGGTAGATAAGGGCAAGTATGAATAATGCGACCGATGAGGACTTGCTCCTCTCCCACAACCTAACAACAGGGCTCCAAGCTGGGCGTGGAGCCCACTTAAAAAAAAAAAAAAAATCAGGATGACAACCTGGGAACAGCCAGGTAAGGCCTGGAGAAACTGACAGCTGTCCAAAAGCTGGCAACTTGTGATGTTCACTGATCACATCCACAGGAAATTGGATCGGTAGGAATGTAAATTTAAAACTGAACAGGAAGTATGACTGCAACTGGCATTTTTACTTTTTTCAACTTTTATATTTTCCCGCTGATAATTTATTACATTGGTTTTTTGGGTTTTTTGTTTTGTTTTGTTTTGTTTTTTTGCTTCTTAATCTCAACTCTCAGTAATTTAGGATACTTTTCTTGATAGCTGGCTATGATAATTGCTATAAAAATCTCCACTGTGCTGAAAGCAAACTCATCCTTCCAAATAAGAAACTTTGGGGGGGTGGTTAGATATCTTACCCTGTCGCCTTTCATTCCCGGAAGGCCAGGGGGGCCAGGCAAGCCAGGGAGGCCAGGACTTCCAGGAGAACCCTGAAAAATAAACAGTGTCTCCAGATTCACCTTTAACTATGACATTGCAATCACATGAGGCCAACACAACCTTGGGTGTGTGGACTCCCGTCTAAAATAAATGCATGCTGTGGCTGGTTTAACTCTGCTCCTCAAATCTGCCTCTCTCCCACACTCTCTGAAAAAAACAGGCCAGTCCCTCCACCCCCTGGGTCCCACCACGGAGTTCCTGGGTTTGCACCCTTCCCAACAGTGGGCTCCTTCAGTGGGCCTCCCTGCCATGGTGCAGCTTCTCTCACTGTGTAAACAAGCAGGGCTCAAGAAGTAAAAGGCTGCATTTACACCCACTTCTCCTCAATTCCAAGAACAACCAGAGGCACTTCCGGTCTCCTGGTTTCAAAATGTGTGCTGCAAACCACACTGATTTAAATACCCTCAGCGGGTATCCTAGATATGATTTCAAACTTCACATTTACATTTCCATGCATTCACATAACAACAGGAATCAAGTAAAGACGATTAAATCACCTTTTGTACATTGCTTTTCTCTCCTTGCTTTTAAAAAAAAAAATGTATTGTGTTTTGTATAAAGCCAATAAACTTCTGGAGATTGGAATTATTACTTACCCGTTTACCTGGTGGCCCTGGGGGTCCCACCGGTCCTATTTCTCCTCTACTGCCCTGGAGAAACACAAACAGGACCGTCAACTGGCTGGTTTGCCAAAACTCAAATGCTCAATTACTATGTCAGTAAAATAACACTTTATGCAGGTTTTTGTTTAAGCATAAAAGTCATCCAAGTATTCTTCCCATCTTCAACTGAAGGCAGAGACCTTTACATAAAACCCCTAGAGCCCCCGCAGTATTTATCATTCGGTGAATGTGTTAATGCTGTTCTTTGTGATTACAGCCCCTTAGATAAAAACGGCGTCTGCTACATTTATGTGAAATGACAATTAGTAAATTTTCAGCATCTGAATCACAATGTAGCTTATATTATGGTTATCTGTGTACATGCTTTATCATCTCATTAGATTATGTGTTCTTGAGGTATATAAGGTATATCAATTTTGAATTCCACCTAATGCCTAAAACACAGTAAATTTCAGGCCCACAGTACGTTTTAAAGCAGCATCTGGCAAATGATCTTGAACTGCAAAAGAGTGGGGAAAAAAAGAGAAACAGGACAGGGATGTTTGCCTTTAAATTACTAATGCAACTTCAAAAAGACAGACATAATAGAAATTTACAAAGTTTCTGACATACAAAATTCTTTGTTCTACTTATTCTTGTTCAAAACCTGTCTCAAAAGATTAAATAAACTTTGGAAAGTATAATTTATAATGAAAATATACCAAAAGCAACATTCCATTTTGTGAGCCAATTTCAATTCTTTCTTTAAATCTCTAAGCCCTTTGAGAAAAGGAGACACATGAATTCTTCAATTTCTTTCCCCAAGAACCTCATACAGTTTTATACAGTCTGATAAAAGCTTGTTTTATTTCTAACACATATTCAGCTAAACTGAATACAAGGTTATTGGGTAAATAATCACATTTCCTGGACGGTATACATAAAACTGAAAGTAGTCTTCTGAGTTCATTCTGCTTTAAAATAACATGACAACTTCATATCAATTCTTGATATTTATAAATGCTCCTGCTAAGATTATCTGATCTGGCCCTTATGTTATTCTTTTACCTCTAAGTTGAACCAAGTGTCAAGGTCCATTATCTTTCAGAATTTTCAGTTTCTTTGAAGGATTAAGAAATGTTTGCCAAATTACAAGTCTCTAGCTTTGAGCTATACTGAAGTGGCACGTGTATCAAGTGACTTATAGGTGATTTAAATGAAATGCTCTTTAATACTTTTCAAAACATTTCATATAAGCAACCTGTCTAGTGTGTAAGTTTGGATAATACATTGGCCCTTAACTCTTGTGAGCAGCTTAGAAGCCTGAGCAGAGTCCTGTGAGGATGGGCACTGGAAAGATGTTAAGACTAGATGAAAACCAGCTGCTGTGATAGATTCTTCTATCCATCTATTAATATAAAGATTGGGTTCTACCCCATTAATTTAGCCTAGCCACTTGAAAGTTCAAGACAGATTTTCTTCAGTATATCTGCTCTGTTGGCATTTTCAAATAATTTCTGAACTGCATCTTGATGAAGATCCTAAATGTCATTGAGTTAATAAGACTTTAATTCACAGAATAATTAATAGTCATTGGGAAAACTAATTAATGATATCAGAAGAGGAAAGCAATTCTTGACACAACCTCAAATATTCACTTCCAAACAAATGAACCATTATGCCAAAATAAAGATAACTGACATACTTTTTTTCTCTTTCACAAACCAAAGAGCTAAGTTAAAATAAAGGATTGTGTGGGGCACCTGGGTGGCTCAGTTGGTTAAGAGACTGCCTTCGGCTCAGGTCATGATCCTGGAGTCCTGGGATTGAGTCCCACATCAGACTCCCTGCTCGGCAGGGAGTCTGCTTCTCCCGCTGACCTCTCTCCTCTCATGCTCTCTCTCTCTCTCTCTCTCTCTCAAATAAATAAATAAAATCATTAAAAAAAATTTTTTTTAATAAATAAAAATAAAGGATTGTGTGACTTTTCATTTTTTGGTGGGATTATTTTGCCAGTCAAAGACAAAGATGTTCTCTGCTGGTATCTTATTTTCTCTGTCTTTCGTGAGCTCTATTTGTCAATTCGTAAGTATCTTCCAACCCTTGGCAACACGTATGAATGGCTCAGAACCCCAGTGTAGACAGCCTGTTCCGCTGACCTTCTACAACCATGAGAGCCCAGCATGTACAGGACTAGAGGGTCAGTAAAATTATAAGCATTTATTCCACGGTTAGTTAATAGACAGATTGCAAGTGTTCCTCATTTTTTTTTCTCTTCCATTCTTTAAATTCTTGGCCATTTTAAATACAGTTATTTCTACAGGAATCATCTCAAGGTTGAAGAAAGTAATGTTTATTTTCACAACAATAACCAAGCAGTTATGAATAAAGTGTTCGGACAAGATATTCTAATGGCCATTCCTATGATTTCTATGTACTCTAAAAAGACGTAAGTAAGATGAACATGAATGATCAAGATATAAATAGTCATCTCTAAAAACATAGGTTAAACTAAACACATGTTACAGGGAGCAATTAACCATGGCCTTGTAAGCACCGGTGTGCTAAACTCACAAATGGTAAATCTCCTGTGTTTCAACAGCTGTGGTGATAATCATAATCTCAGATGTGGGCAAGGGAGACTTGTAGGGATATGGTTTTTCTGCCCAGTAGCTAATATTTACAAGCCCCATGACAAAAAGAGTTATGATCTGTAACAAAAGAATTGTAAAGAACCAGAAAAAAAAGGCAAAATCCTAACATTAAAAATCTGAGGACCATAATAAAAGACTTCTTTTTTTCCCCTCTTGGATGCTCCGTGCCCCCATATATCTCTCCAGCATATTCAGATACATCTGCCAACGACTCCCTACTTAAGAAGCCAATCAAGGCTTAAAAAAAAAAAAAAATCACCTCTACCAGTGATTCCCAACTCTGGCTGTGCTTCAGAATCCCCCCAAAGAATGTTTTAGGAATATATTTCACAAGACGTCTTCTGCCACTTCCTCTCCCTGTTCTTCCTCCTTCCTGTCTTCCCCCCTCTCCCTTGGATTTTTATTCTGTGATTTTGAGGTCAGACCCAGGAATCTGTTTGGGTTAAGTTGTGTGTGTTTGTCTTCCCCAGCTTTAAATTAGACTTTTGTTAAATGCTCACTACAAAAATTCCAAACACCAAAATTTTAAAATTTCTAAATATGTCTTGTACCATTAAAATTGGGCAAGCTAACTTCAAATAAAAACCATCCTGCAGAGCCTTGACTTGAGCTGTCGAGGCACTGGAGGGGCACTGAGCCCCCTGCCAGGTCTGAAGCCTAGTTCCACCATGTCAGCCAACTCTAGCCCCACAACTTCTCTATACCTCAGTTTCCTCACCTGTAGAGTGGGGATAAAAACAGTACTGATCTCATAGGGTTTTCAAAAGGATTGAATAGATACATAAAGCACTTACAACAGTATGTGTCTCATAGTAAGCACTATGGAAGCATTAGTTATTTTCATTCAAGAACTATAGAAATCAGCCAAAATTAAGTATTTTAATCTTTAATTAGATGTTCTTTGCCTTTCAAATTTCCCAAATTTCTTTAAAAATACAAGTAGCTCTTGGAAAAAAAAAACAAGTCTCTTGTCTTCATTTCTCCAGTTTCTGTCAAGATCTCTGATCACCAAGAAGAATTTCCTTTTTTTTTTTTTTCTTCTTCAAGAGAGGGAGTGGGAAGGGGCAGGAGGAGAGAGAGAAAGAAGCCCAAGCAAACTCCACACCCAGTGTGGAGCCTGATGTGGTGCTCAATCTCACAATCCTGAGATCATGACTTGAGCCGAAATCAACAGTCAGATGCTTAATCAACTGAGCCACCCAGGCGACCCAAGAAGGCACCTTCTTTATAACAAGTACTAAGAACTATTTTGTAAAACTCATTTCAATGAATACAGACAAATAATTCCATCTGGAAGTATTCCTTTTAAAAAGGAACTACTAGACTTTTAAAATATCACAGAAAAAATCTATTTCATTATATGTGTGTTGTCATAAGTATTTTGCAAAAAAAGAAAAAAGAAAAAAAGAAATTTAGATTTTATTCCATTGTGCTGTAGATTATGATGGTGGTTGTATTTGCTTGATTACCCAAAATGCTAACTAGCTGAAGAATGAACATTATTCTTAGTACCATGCTAATTTTAGAAGGGAGAAATTGTAAATCGTCATACTTAGTCTGAATTATATATTTAAGTGCCTCTCTCTGGGAAAAAGGATGCTGATTAACGCAGAAGATCAATTATGATTTCTTTAGATTGTTGCTTTTACAAATCCATCTTCATATTAACATAGGAATATCACATTAGTCCTGCCACAATGATAATTTTTAGGTCAGCCACAAACATACTTCAAAAATCTATTCAATTTTGCAGCATTGTACAGTTTGTATTTTTCTCTGGTGTAGGTTTCGGTATTCCCTCACATACAGAGGGAAATCAAACTCTATAACCATCACAGCTGCTTCACAAATTATTGACAGGGATAATATTCCATGTCCTGGGTGGCACAGGAATGCAGTTCTGATCATCAGCAACACACTGTATGGAGACTTCTGTGCTCAGAGCTGTTGGTGATAGGATGGGAGTGGGACTTCAAGAGAAACTGAGAGCAGCTCTGTACTCAGGAGTGTATCATCTTCAGAAAACTGGAAGTAGATCAGCATGGTACTGATCCCAGTCAGAATCATGAGAGCAGAGCAAACACAGCTCACTCATCAAAAGTCCTGGCAAGTACTGGGAAGCCTGAAAGAGGGAAATGGACCAGGAGTCACAGCGTCCAAGGCCCCCCGCATTCTCCTGCTGTAAACGGGAGTCACCCAGATCCAGGTATAAACCAGTAGAGTGTAAGCGAGAAAGCCAGAAGCAAGATCCAAGTGGTGAAGATACGTGCTCATATGTAATCACTGGAGGTGACCAAAAACCCTCCAATATGTTTTGCTGTGGCACCGGCTAAAGCTGTTAGTTAGAACGATGATTTGAAAGGGGAATACCACTTAATTTCAAAGATGTGCTCCAATTAGCCCTGGCCCATTAGTAGAACACATTAGAAATGGGTTTTCATTCTTTCTACTCAGCTTTTCAACTCGACATTTGCAGGAAAAACTGATAAAACTTGGAAGGAATCATTAAAAATGTGTGAATTTATCTATGAAACTAAATGTAATGATGTAAGATGAAAGAACAAATATATCTTTCAGTAAGTAGATTTGTTGTTAAAACTCTGCTCAGAACCATAATGCTTACAACCTCTCATGCACTTTTCTGTAAAATTTATAGGAGGCGAGAAGTCAGTTATTACCAACATAAGCAGCATAGAAAGATTTACTATACCTCCAATTCAATTCATTTTTAGAAATATTTATTGAGCTCCGCCTTGTGACAGGCCATGAGGGGAGAGATGTAGGGAATGCAAAGGTGGATCAGAGTGTCCCTGCTTCCCTGCAGTTCCCACAGCATGGGGTGAACAGGGCCCCGGGTTACAGGGTTCAGAATAGAGAGAGAGCACTTCTATCTGGGACATAGGGCATAAACAGAGATGGTTTCACTGTCAAATTAACATTTCAGTTACACCTAAAAATGTACATGGGCGGCTGAGTCAGAGAAACGGAGAAGGAAGCCATCTAAGGGCAGAGTATAACAAAAGAAAACAAGCGGGCTGAGAAGTGCAGAGACTAATTGGAAATGCCCATGGAGTCCAGCATGACTTGAACACAGGCTTTGAGCAAGACACAAGGGAGACATAGAACTACCAGATAAACAGTTCATGATTTAGTACTTCCTTTCCTTGCTAGTGGAAATTCATTGAAGATCTTTAAATAAAGAAGTGATGATCAAGTTGTATTCTGAAAAGACCAATATGGCAGGGTGTGCAGACGGGGACCACTGCCATTCCCCAGGCCTTTGACATTGTGTCTGACACTCTTGTCACCATGACTGTGGGAACCCCATTGGAGATCTAGGGTGGAATCCCGGGGAACAAAGAACTATGCCAGCCAACATACCAGGAGTACCTTGTTGGGGACCACTGGTAAGGGAAGGAAAGACAACCTGGAAAGGCAAATCAGGAGACACCTGATAATCCAAGCAGCAGCTAATGATCTGAGCTGGGATGGTGGAGGTGAGCTTAGAAGAGTCGAATACAAGAGACTTTCAAAAGGAGGACGTAGAAGGCCCCCGGGTGGCTCAGTCAAAAAGGCTCAAAAGACTTGCTTTAAGCTCAAGTCATGATCCCAGAGTCCTAGAACCAAGTCCCAAGTCAGGTTCCCTGCTCAGTGGGGAGTTTGCTTCTCCCTCTGCCCTTCACCTTGCTTGTGCGCTTGCTCTCTCACTCTCTCTCTCTCAAATAAAATCTTCTTAAAAGGAGGTGGAAGACAGAACAGGTCCTATTGGAGAGTGGAAATGATGGAAGAAGATCACCAAGGCTTTGAGCCACAGTGATTGGAGCAATGAGAATCTGGATATTTACAGGGACTCAAAAATCAAAACCTGAGTCAGGCTCAAAGCTTGCATAGTCACCACAGATCTGCCTCCCCTCACATGAGAGAACAGAACCCCCACCCCATCTCCTTCTGCAGTTCTTGCCTCTAGGTCTTTATACATCCCTTAGCACTTAACTGATGATGGGCCAAGCTCTCTCTACTGTGTCACTTTTTGTGTTCAGTGCATGGACTTGACATACAGCAGATGCCCCTTCAATTGTATGTTCTCTGCTCTATAAAGTGAATATTACACCTAATAGCCAACATTCTCAAAGTTCCAATGCCGCTCTCCCACACTGTTAAATCTTTCTGGATCAGTCATGTAGCATCTCCATTGTTTATGAATATGTTCTAGCTACAAACTCATTGTTTTGGCAATCAATTTTTTAAAATTATTTTAATTAGAAGTTCACAGGCTTCAAGCAAGACAGAAGAAAAGGATAACTGAGCAGTGAGTGAACGAAGAGCACTGGCTAGTTTCTCTGGCTGCAGAGAAACTTCTGGAAACCACCTGATAGAGCTAAGTTGACAAACACCTGTGAGAAGTGGAAGAGTTCACCTCTTATGTCAAGAGACCTGGAATAATTCACTTTCTTGACACATGAAAATTGTCATTCAATGCTCATGAAATGCTTTAAAAGTAACAATATTTGGAAATGTTTCTCTGTTCTCACTTGGAGTTCTTTTTGTTACCCAGCAGATTTTAAAAATAAGAACTTAAGCTGAAGGCCAGAGAGAATTTTTTAGAGTTGACATTAAGAATATAATATTTAAGAATATAATATTTAATTAATCCATTTCTCTCTAAGGGTTAAAGTGTATCTAGTGAAATAATATGATTTGCTGTGTTGGTGGTAAAACAGACACACAAACTCAGACTACAAGAAGTCTGGCAGTTTCACCAAGGATTAAATAGAGTTACCACATGACCCAGAAATTCCACTTCTCAGTGTTCTACTCAAGAGAAATAAAAACATGTGTCCACACGAAAACCTGTAGAAAAATGTTCCCAGCACCATTATTCATAATGGTCCAAAAGTAGAAGCAACCCAAATGTCCAAGAGCAGATGAGAGAATGAAGGAACACTGGTACGTCCATCCTACTGAACATTAGTCAGCAAGAAGAAAGAAGGTAAGCCTTGAAATATGCTGAAGGAAGCCATTCACTGAAAAAAACCCACTGTATGATTCTATTTATATGAAATTTTCAGACCAGGCAAGTCAAGACAGAAAGTGGACTAGTGGTTGCTGAGGGCTGAGAGGACTTCTGGGAAATGCTGAGTGACTACAAGTGGAAACAGAGGTTCTTTTCTGGGGGGTGATGAAAAGATTTTAAAATTGTGGCAATGGTTGTATAATTCTATAAATATGCCTTAAATATCAATGAATTGTATGCTTTAAATGGTTGACTCATACGGTATATGAAATATATCTCAGTAAAGCTGTTTTGTTTTGAGTTTTTTAATGTGTTTTTTTTTTTTTTTAACCACACTGGAATATTTCCTTCAGTATGAAGTAAGAGCACAAGGGGTCCTCATGCTTTCTAAAAATACTTTAAAAAATTTTAAAAAGCAGATTGTATTCACAAATGACATTCTTATTTCACTGTCTCAAACTTGAGAAGGCATTCATGGATAAATGAATAAATGATTGGAAGGACACCCAGAAAAACCCTGAGAAGACACTTCAGAAGGTTCTACTGGAAAGGAGTACTCACAGGAAGCCCCCTGGGTCCTCGGGGTCCCACCTCTCCTGGAGGCCCCTGTTGGCCCTGTTACGAGGAAGGCAGGAAAAGAAAAAAATTAACACTCCCTGATTCTTTGCAGAGTGATTACAGCAGGTGACAACATAAGAAAAGGTAGCTCATGTCATCTTACCGGTTTGCCTGAATTCCCCAGCTGACCAGTCTTCCCAGGAGCACCTGTGTTACCCTAAAGGTAAAATGCAACATCCAAAGTAATTCAGACAGCAAGTAAGCAAAATCTGCAACCTGTCTTACCCAGACTGGGCATTTCTTACACCTGAATAGCATTAATTTCCCAGTTTCACATTGCGAATTTGGGAGGACATAGAATCTCTTGCTTGGGGGATACATTAAAGTTCTTTAGATCAGGATACTGTTCTGGTGTTCCCAGAAGTATGTTCAAAAATGAAGGTCAAATGGCAATACATGAAGGTCTTTACCCAGACAGGAAGACAAGAAGGTTTTTCTTTCCTCACAATATTAATTATACGTGTCTTTCCTTTACCATTTCTATCTCCAATAAATTTCTTGGAGCTCTTTTCCCTGGCAATGACACTATTAAAATTAAGAAGGATCCTGTGAACATGAGGAACAGAAGGAAGGGCTGTTGAGGGGACCCTGCCAGCAAGCTCCAGAGAAAGCACATGTCTGGGGGTCCAGCCCCACCATCCATCTCTCACGGTCCACTTGGGAGGAAGCATCCCTGCTCAAGATGCTGTGGGCCCCAGGAGTGGAGACTGTAGCCATATAACCTGGTAGTGACTGAATTCTACGTTACTCACATGTCATCCCTTTTACTTAAAGTAAAGCTATATCTTATCCCTTCAATTTTTCCTTTACCTATTGTTTTTAATTTTGCACCATAAGCACTGGTTGATCAGTTTGAGAATAAAATGTCTATTATCTTTTTTAAGCAAAATCACGTTAGTAATTTTCACTGACATAATTTCTATAGCTTAATCGTAATTTCTTTAAGTGGTAAAGAGCAATAACACTGTCTCTGTTTAATACTGGCGAAGGATGACACTTCCAGGAAGGAAGTCTAATCAGCAACATTTTGTCAAAGTATTCTTTCTGCAGCTAGGAAAGAGATTAGCACTCGAGGCCTTAAAAGAGCCTTTTCAAAAATTTTCTCCTTAGAGTCAAATATAAAATAAAAGGCAGGTTGGAAATACTAAAAATGATAAATAAAACATATTAATGAAAAAATAGAGAAATACAGAAAAGTACTAGTTAAAAATTTTTCATCTTTTACCTTTTCACCAGCAACACCCTTTGCACCAGGAATCCCAGGTACACCCTAAAAAAGGGCACACAGAACTTGGGCTGAATCACATCAGCGGAGAATCCGTGAGATGCCTTGCCCCCAGCACACTGCCCAGGGGTTGAGGGAATCATGACAACGCCAAAGTTTTAGTGTGAAAGAGATTCTTCCTAGTTCCCAAATTCTGAACAGTTCTAGAACTACCCACAGTTTAGAAGGAATTACACTTCACTCTATCTGGCTAGTTAAGCCTGAACACCCTTAGGCAAATCCTATCTCTAAACTAAAGTTATTTTTCAAGCATGAATTTCCAAATTATCATCTGTCAAGGGGAGCTTGAATAACAAAACAAAGACCTATTGAAACGTTAACCCTGAAGTAGAAAAGCAGAATGGCAGGAAAATGCTGGCTTGAACTAAAATTTGGTATTACTGGGAGTCCTAATGTTCTGTAACTGATTATTTTTAAAATGTGAGATAATAAATTGAGGCCAGTCCTCAAATTACCAAGTATCTCTTTGTTACCTTGAAACATTTGTCTCCAAGAATACATCTGTATAATCCACATTACCCTCTAGCCACATCAAGGCAGGGAAACACCAATTTGAATAATTCAAAATAGCACGCAATCAAAAAAATGGTATCTGATACCTCACATCGTTCAGGGAGCATACTTGCAAGCCCCTTATGGCTCAACTCTGCTAACAAGAACTTCAAAAATGGTAAAAAGGAGGAGGGAGTATGTGCTCCTGGCCCACAGCTCAGAGTTAGTAAAAAGATAAGAAAGACTGAGTAAACTAAAGAGAGGAGAAAAATGCAAAATACAAATTAAAGCTTAGTATAGTTATTAGAGAAAGAGTTCCTTATTCAGGAAAAAAGTATAAAATGTAAAACTACAAAAATGTAAAGCTAAGCCAACATGTATCTTCCTGAAACTTAGCAAATTATTTGTTTCTAAAATTCATATTTTCCAAATACTCAGCTAAATCAGTAAACATTTAAAGACCCAAATACTCACAGGTAAGCCCTGCAATCCTGCATCACCAGGAGGCCCAGGCTTCCCGGGTTCACCCTGAGAAAAGAAGTTTTTATTGCATCATTGAACCTGTGTGAATTGCTCTAAGTCTTTCAAGTAAAGAAAGGACACAGGGCTTCTGTGTAGAAGGATTCTCCCTACAGGTGACCTTATGCGCACTTTTATGATATGATCCAGTTCAGGGCAGGGGGCGGGTGGTGGTACGGGATAGGGAGGATGGACTTAGGACATAAATTAAATCAAAATACACAGTCTCTTTCAGCTGCTTTCATCGACAGGGCAATTCTATTGAGTTCCTAAAACCAAGTAAACATACTATTCTAAAAGTATTTCTGAGGTGACACTTGATGAAAAAATGGAGGAAAAAAGCCAAAACCAGCTGAGTAAATCTCCCTGTCATGTAGTAATGGAAATGCTGGGCTCGGTTTGCCAGGGTTACAAAAGCTACCTTTGTCCCGGGCATTCCAGGTATCCCGTCACGGCCATCCACACCTGGCAAGCCCTAAAAAGACACAAAGAACACATTGTGTCTTAGAAATAGTCACATTCTTCTTCCCTTCATTATTTTCTAAAGTTTTATTACAAGTTAATAATCACTTCAAAAAATGTGGTGGATGACTACGGCTCAGGACATACCATGTCTCCTTTGGTTCCAGGGAGGCCAGGAATTCCTCTAGAACCTTGAGGCCCCTTGCAGGGTAGAGGGGAAGGGAGAGACAAGACATGCTCATTCATCACGACACTTTGGCCACAACAAAGAGGTAAGCATAATCAGTAGAGGACACCAAAAAGCACGATGTTTATAGTGATTAACACTAATCTGAACTCACTCTATCTCCCTTGGGACCTATTTCTCCTGGAGGTCCTCTCTGTCCTTGGTCACCCTGTATGAAAATAAAATGAAAAGCAAAAGTTACTTATTGATAGACTTTTGAAACTAGAGAACACCATCCATATTACCTTATGACTACTCTTTCATTCCAGTGCTTTGCTCTGTCATGGATGCCTAGCTCAAGAAATCATTTATAAAAATTACATCATCTTAAAATTTTATGTTGCCATAGGGATGATAGAGACTTACATGTCTTTTGATTTCATTTTCAATGTGTAAAGTTTCTGTGCCCTTTTGATGTATAGGTATAATAAAATTAAGATCCATACTGTAGGTAATCTTAACATCAGTAACTATGTCTACATTATCAGTTCAACTCATTGACTATCATGGTGGGTTGAGCTTTGGGTCAGTTGCCAATCTTTTTTCCATATTATTTCATTCTCCCAGCAATAATAACGGTTTCTGTCAAAATTATCTGGCTAATGTTGATTTATTGTATAGCTGGTAATAGATGAGAGGATATGTCTTCCTTAAAATATAGCTTTTGTTGAACTGCAGAACTACTCTAAAACCTCAAATGGCTTCCTGTGCTATCAGATCAGTTCAAATTGCTCACATTGGCATAAAACACTCTCTACAATGTGATCATACTTTATCTATTCAATTTCATCTTCTCAACGGAATCTTTCCAAGCTAGGCAGTAACAATTCCTAAGACAACACACACCCCATTACCACCAATTACTCCCTTCACAGAGTATCACCTGTACTCTGCTGCCTTTCCCACCCAGAATGGCTTTCCATTTCAGCCTGCCTCTAGGATCTTCCTCTTACCAGCAGTACCTCTACCATATACTCCAGCGCTGGATCTTTTAACGTATGACAGAGTTGTATTCTGTCTTCCCCACTGGGCCATAGGAGCTTGATAATTGAAAATTCTATTGTCTTTATACCTTTTCTACTTTTTCTGTGATAAAGGTGGCTATTATATGGGTGGCTTTTTTATTTATTTCTAGAAAAGGTGTGAGGCAGCCTATAATAATGACACATATACATACAGCAGTCAAAATATAGAATATAGAAAATATAGAGAAATAGAGAAATAGAGAAAATATAGAGATCAAAAATCACAGAAAAGGAGCAAGAACCTGAAATGAGACAGTTACTGTGACTCTAAACATCCTGGTAGCTATAACAAAAGGAAAACACAGCAAACATAAAAATGTAACAATTTGATTTCACCTACTTGAAAAACAAAAACCCTCATCAAGTCAAAAGAACATTTCTCTTTATTCAAGGAAGTGCTGCTTATCTTAACTAAAATTTGTTTAAATATAGAAACTATTGCCCATTTTTCCACTGTATTCACATGTAAAAGACACTTAGACACACACACACACACACACATACAGCAAATACTCTATCACTGGTCAATCATTGCTAAATAACCTATCATTGGGTCTGGTAAAAGGAAAACTACTTACAGGTGCACCAGGAAGACCTTGAGGCCCAGGTTCTCCATCTAAGCCCCGAGCACCCTGCAAAAAAAACAGCATAAAGAAATGAAATTGAAATCAGTCATTAAAGGGCACATCAGTCTTTCCATAGAACTTTAGTAGCTAGATTAAGAAGAAGGTTTTGTGCCTGGAATATATTCTGTATACATCAGTGTATTATTATACATCATATATAATATATACATCAGTGTATATATTATACCAGGGAGTATCCATTGGACACCTCAGATATGAAAACACTAGTTTACGTCTCCTCATCCCACCAAGAGTACTGATGGCCAATCTTTCCTACCACTCTGGATATTTTAAGTTCACACTGCAGCCATTTTTGATTGATGACAGGAACTAAAAACACTGGTCCCTATTAAGGGAAGTTGGCAAACCTATGGGAGGAGGTTGGGTAATTACCCTCCGGTGTTCTCAGGATTCCTGTGCTTTTTCATGAATGGTGAAGACCAAGGAGCCACCCAAAGAATAGAGCAGTTGCCATGGACTGTGCTGCAGCCACAGCTGTGGGTGGGATTCCATGACACTGGATTTCTGCCAAGATCCACAATCTGAAGTCCAGTCATGTGATTTAGAAGAACGAATCGTAATAAGGATTTGAGTATCCCCCATTCCATCCCTGATAGACATTAGGTTCTGTTTATATAGAAATAATCCATCTATTTTCTTAACAACAGATTTGTCCTACCAAGGGATGGAAACTAGAGTTTTATAAATCTAATTATCTTGCAATCAGTTGTGACTTGGCTATACTGTAAATATCACCTCCTTATTTAATGATAAGAATCAAAATGTGATTTTGAAACAAAAGTATGGGGGCTTTTTTTGGGTGCTTTCTACATATACTACCTGACAAAATACAACCCCCTTCTTCAAATCTTTTTCTCATCTGCTAAGTGAATGAGAAGGCAGAAGGGTGACTGAAGTCAATAGGCCATTTCCTAATGAATAGGGTTGAGACAAGGAGATGATAAAATAAATGGAAAACAGTCAAAAGAGTGCTGGATGGATGTTAGGCCAAGAAAACCAGGCGGACAGCATCTGTAGTAAGATTTAAGAATTAGAAAACCTTTGATAGAAGGTTCAGAAAAGGTAGAATCAAAGAAAGAACACCACTGAAGCAGAAGCACCACAGAGCCTTGAAATTCTTTGATCCCTAAAAACTAGAGCAGAGCAGAAAGCATTTTACATTCACCAGGGAAGAAGAGGTTTGGAAGACTCGAAAAAGACCTTGAATTCATCATTCACCCTGCATTGTGAGCGAGGAGCCCGGCCTTTGCATTACAGAATCGGCTGTGATGCGCTCACTCTCTCTTACTGCTGTTCAGCATGAGCTCAGACCCAAAATGCTGTTACTAGGCAACCACTCCAGGGGTCTGAGTTCATGAGAAGAGCTTGCTTTTTTTTTTTTGCTTTTTTTTTTTTTTTTGTTATTGAAAGCAATTTGACAGAACTCAAAGGAAATGAGAAATTTTGAAAAATGCCAAGTAAAAAAATACCTCAAATAAAGATCATATCAAGAACAGTAATCGGTTTCAAAGTGTGAGGTCACATACTTTAGATGATTTAAACCCAGAAAAAGCAAAGGCCTAGGTATCAGCAACTTCAAAATAAATGGGGTTTATTACTTAACAACAGAAGAGATAAACACAAAATATTACTTAAGGTAATATGAATATAGAAATATGAAAATTTTTTTAAAAAACAGTGTTTTTAGAAAAGAAATATTCTAGAGGAAATGGAAGAGTAAAATGGGCAGAATGAGAACACCTAGAAGGGACAAGGCTGAAAAAAAATGAAGGAATCTGTCACAAAATAATTCCTTCCATTTCCAAAAATGTTTATTTCTTTTAGAAAAATTTAAATTTATTTATTGAGCACCTACAATGTGCAAGTTATTCCCTCTTAGCTGTTAATAAAAGTCTCTGTGCTTCTGTGCGAAATGATGCCAATTAGCCATAGAGGTTCTAAAGAGGAAGAGACAAGGGTCAGAAGTGGTGGTGGACAAAGTGCTTTTATTGTTTTTCCTGGAACCCACAAACTGGCTTTCCTAATATACTAAGTGGCAACCATTTTCTTAAAAATCTGATAGAGAAGCTGGGCACACCCCTACACACACACACACACACACACACACACAGTGAGAAAAACATTTCTGAGCACAGCAGGAACATTCAGGTTTCCACTGTTTTCATTTTCACTCAGCCAAGCATTTCCCATTCTTCATCCTCCACCAATAGGAACATGTCATCCTTCTAGGCCTGGCATTCTTCAAATGCCACCTCCTTTATGAGCCCTCCCAGTTCCCTGACCAAGAGTAGTCACTCCTTTGTCTTCACTCCCTCACACCACTTGCCCTCAAATTTATGTGTCTCTTTTACATTGTAGTTAGCTGTCTACTCATTTGTTTCTCCCAATGAATAACAAATTTGAAATCCTTTTTCTTCTTTGAATCTCCCCACCATCTCACAGTGCCTTGCTATGGAAATGGTAGGAGAATCTGGTTTTTGAGACTGGGCTAAGGACAGGTTGGAAGTGCAGGGAGTATTCTTGTGGCAGACAGAGCTCAGCGATCAGCCCAGAGGGAAAGCCACAGATGGCCCTTGTGTCCTTGGGGGGATCTTGCCTTCTCTTGCCTCTCCCTTTCCATCCTCTCCTGTCTTTGCTTTGATTTCCAGTATTAACTATTAATAATGACAAAGATATAAAAAGGTAACATCCCTGTTTATTCCTATCTACCAAGATAATTTAAAATATATAGTATATAAGTATCACACATACTACTCACTTCTGTCATCTATGTTTATAACAGAAATGTGAAAACCTAACCAAGTATCTACAAAGCAAATAAGAAATAAAAAAATGATGTTGCTGAAAATAAGAAGATATTTTTAAATGGGAAAATTTTTAAATATTTATACATTTTGATATCCTATCATCATCATCTTACTTTTTCTCCTTTGGCCCCAACTATGCCAGTGATGCCTCTTAATCCCTGGGCTCCCTGGGGGGGGGGGGGGGGGAAGAACAGTGAATTGTTTTAGTTGAAGCACACACTTATTTATCTCATCACAAAAGTTGCTCCAGAAGGATGTTAACATAACCAAAGGTAACATTAAGAAATAGTGACATTATGAAAACAAATGTTTCTAGTTTAGAAAGAAAAAAAAAATCCAAGGAGAATTCTTCTGATGGTAAACACTCTTCTGAAACTCTGAAGACATACACAAACCTGGAGGGGAAGCAATTACTGATGACAAAAAAGTAAACATCATTATCATAAAAAAAACCACAATCATGTATTTTGACTTACTTTTTAACTCAGGTACAGAATACACTGCCATTTCTACTTCCTTCATGATTTGTAACTTAGTTACATGTAAGATGATTGTGATTTTAAACCTTGGAGTTAATTTCTCCCCACCAATGTATGCCATCAAAGGCCATTCAATTTCCAGGGTCCACAAAAGCTTCTGACTGTACATGGAGCTGAAATCTCTACTGACCACTAGGAGTCGTTACACCACCCGTATGGCATTCTACATTCCCACCTGCAGCAGCAGGAATCCATCTCACCCCATCTCAGGCATGGGAGTGGGTAAGCCTAAAAATAAGGATGTGAGTGTGATTTCTAGACTCTTCTTCAGTACTGAAGCAGCAGGGCTCCAGGAGTGGATCCTGTAAAGAGTGAGCCTACGTGTTCTCCTGGGAACAGCAGCCGGTGGATGCCCCTTCGGAAAGGTAGAGCAACCACTTCTGAGCAATTTGCTAACAGTGTGCTGTGACTGGCTTCAGATCAAATAGCTCTAGGCCGGTCATTCTCTTGTGTTCTCCCTTGGAGCAAGTGGGGCAATTCTCTGGCCAACCCTGCCTGCATCCAGATAAGTCACAAATTCTGTGTAGATCAGTTAGGAATGACCTGAATGTGTAAGATGATCCAGCACAGGATAACCACTTGAGATATAAAATGTGGCCATATCAGATTCAAACTGCTCTTTCTGAAGATAATTCTACAAAAAGAATTCCAAAAATATTTTGGCCAATGGCAGTGACATGAGAATGCCATGTATTATCTCTTAAGGTGACTACTTTGAAGGACAAAGCTTGTGTATAACGTTTCCAAAAGCATATAGCTTAAAAAAAAACTCTGTGCCTTGCTTTATAGATGTACATTTAAAAAGTAAACATTTCTGAAGTTTATAGAAACATTTTGGTAAGCCTACTGCCAAACACCAGAAAGTCAGCAAGCATTCACAATAGTCCCCAGTAGACCACTTGAGCCAGGCAGAACCCAACAGATATCCTTAATCTGTGAAAACATTTTTATATGCTGCTTGCAAAATCCTGTTCTGAGGATTTGGGGGATGGCTTAAAAATAATTTAGGTCCCCACTAAATTTTCATCAGATCAAAAAAAAAAGCATGTGTCTCTCATACTATTTCTATCTCTCTCCTACCAAATAGGGCCATCTCCTTATTGTCTCCTTTCAAAGGCTCAGGGAAGACAAGCTTCTGAAATAAACACCTTGTATTCCTCCAGGTTTTCTTAAAGTTCTCATGTGGCTTAAAAGCAGTGGCCATTTCTTACAAATGCTCAAATTCATCTCCTTTAGCTACACAGCTCCCCTAACTCTTTTGTAAAAGGCCAGTTATTTGGGGGAAGAGCAGAGCAGGGCAAGGAAGGGTGGCCCTATGTTTGTCCTCCGTAACCTGAGCCTGTCCCTTACCTAGCAAAGACCTTAGCTAGCTAGAGTGTTCAATGAATATTCAGAAATTATTATTTCCATAATTGTTAACTACTCATTTTGACAAGAAAAAAAGTGTGGTAATTCTACTTTTGTATACAAAAGTAATGTAAATTTTGATGTAGCAACCACTTTAAGTTGAAATATGCCAATGCCCCAGATTACCTCGTTGTGCATATAATTGCAGCAATCTGCCAAAGCATAAGGGACTAACTTTTTATTAAAAGACCTGATTACAAGCAATTAAGAATGTTCTAATTATAATGATTATATGCTGGCATAAGGTACATTAAATCCAGTGGTTGAGGTACCTTCTGCATATTCAGGGTACATGAAATTTTCTATATCATGTGAAAGTACAATAGAATATAAAAGACATATATCAACCTCTTGTGTTCAATATTTGCTTTCAGATTGCTTAGCCCTAAAATCTAGTAAATGAACATATGTAATTGTAGGTAAAATTTTTCTGTTAAAATGGTGCTTGATTATACAATGTGGATTCTTCCTATTTGGAAAAAATGGTAAACTCCCAATGCTGGCTTGGTGGGAAAATATGTTAATGTAATACTATTAATCCAAATGCTAAACAGAAAATATTCCGTTAGTCGTGAAAAAAAATATTTGCATATCCAAGTTAAATATTTTTAAAGAATACTTTACTGGAGGTCCCTGAGCTCCAACTTCTCCTTGTTCCCCTTGGTCACCTTCTTCACCCTAATAAACAACAGAAAAGCACGCCAAGTGTTATTCCAGCAAATGAGCATAGATAGATAACTCAGCACATCTGAAATTCACTTGGCATCCCCTGAGTTATGTTACCATACTTTCTTAAATTAGTTTATATGAGTAATCCATATTCATTGTAGGACATTCAGAAAATACAGAGAAGTTTACAAATAAGTCACCCAAATCCCACCTTTCAACTATAAATACCAGTAACATCTTAGATACTTCTCTATAAAGGGGTGAATGGGGAGGAAAGGACAGAGAGAGAGAACATATATATATTCACGTTCCCAGTGTGTGTGTGTGTGTGTGTGTGTGTGTGTGTGGAGGGGGGTGTTACTAGGAAAATATGATCATCGAATGCAAACTTTTCCATCAACTACAATATTATTTATTTGTGATTTTCATTTTTTACTTTTCTTATTATAATTTTTCTACCATATATAATTTTTTTAAAAGCATTTAAATCAGTCTTTCTTTTTATGGCTTATACCTTTGATGTCTCCCACAGAAAAGCTTTCTTCACCTCCTAAATATATAAATATGCATCTGTATTTTTCTTCTATAATTATATAGTTAAACTTTTTACATAGAAATCTTTAATTGATTTTAATGTAAAATATAAAGTAGAAATCTATCATTTTGGAGGTGGGTGGGGTGATAGGGTAAGAGGGTGATGGGCATAAAGGAGGGCATGTGATGGGATGAGCACTGGGTGTTATATGCAAGCGATGAATTATTGAATTCTCCATCTGAAACAAATGAAGTACTATATGTTGGCTAGCTGAATTTAAATTTAAAAAAAGACATCTGTCATGTTCTTTTTTTCTGGTAATTTCTCACCTTCTCTAATATCATTTATAGAATACAAGATTCTCTCCACACAGGCTGGAAAATCCTTCTTTAACATATAGTAAATTATGAATATACTTGTTTCTAGATTTCCTACTCTGCTCTTCTGATCTGTTGTATGAATTTGTCAATATCACATTTTAATTATTGAAATTTTATAATACATTTTAATTTCAGGTAGAATTCCTTTACCTTTTTTTTTTTTATGGTTACTCTTATTTTTCAGTTTTTCCTAAATGTTTGCTCTTCCAGATGAACTTTAGAATTATCTGGAAGATCTTCACAAAAAAACTACTTGCTTTATATTAGGACTGCACTAAACTAAAAGATTAATACAGAGAGAACTAGAATCCTTACAATACCGAGTCTATCTTGGAACTCGGTGTATCTCCCTATTTAATCAAATCTTTTTCTTTCCTTCAATAAAGCTTTGTTCTTTTCCTCATATTAGTTTTCAGTATTTAAGTTTGTGCTAAGACATCTTGACTATTCGGTGGTGATTCCCAATGGAAACTTATTCTGTGTTGTTTTCTAGCTAATTATTGTTTGACTTTTTGATATTAATTTTATAACTTCTGATATACTTTAAAATGTTAGTATATTCTGAAAAGAAATCCAGCTGCTGTTTCTTACAGAAAGATCACTTGACTGACTCTGAAAAAAAAGTTATTATTCCCTCTGACAAGTTTTTTTACAGAAATATACTGCCCTATATATGTCCTGTATGTAGTAATGCAGTAATGAATATCTTAAATTATAATGAATAGTAATGTATTCATTACTGTAGTAATGAATATCTTAAATTATAATATTAATCATGAGAAAAATTCATTTTTAATATTATGTGCATAATATTAGATAAAAATCTATTCCTATTGTTTCTTTATTACATATTTCAATTCACCCATGTTCTTGTTCTATAGATTATACCTTATAGAACTTGTCACACACACACACACACACACACACACACACACACCAAAATGCAGAAAATTAAATGGCAATATTAATATATAAACATAGAAACTTTGAGCATAAATGCAAAGAACTAGGTTATGCCTAAGTCATTTATACTTGACTTTTGAATCAATTATACATAGTGGTTTCAGTCTCATAATTTTATTCAGATTGTATTCCATAAGAACATATGATTGATAGCGAGGAGAGGTAGTCCCAGTGGGAAAGCCAGTGAATTAGCTATTTCAAGGAATGGATAAGCAACACACGTGTGTAATTAAATGCTATCTATATGTCCCTGCCTAACTATCAAAACAACAATGACTGATATGTGCACAGTAAGCTTTCATTAGCAAGGTTTGGGGTATTTTCCTACAGATTCCAGGATAAACCCTGGAGTAATATAGATGATTTAACTATCTCACCAGCAGATGAGTAGCACACAACTAGTCAATCAATAACCACAACATAATGACAAATTTAGGAACAGCAATTTATTATCATTTTACTGAAAGATTGTTGACTATTCATTCCTTTATTTACAAATTTTAAAATCTTCATTAACTAATTTGTAGAGTAAATTCAAGGCAGAATTGTGAACCCACTTTCAGTTTACAGTTCAGTGCATCGATTACCCTCTTAAGGTTCATTTTTCAATGAGCTATTGTCATCCTTTCGTCCCAAGTAAATTTTCTTTTTTTTTTTTTTTAAGATTTTATTTATTTTTTTGACAGACAGAGATCACAAGTAGGCAGAGAGGCAGGCAGAGAGACAGGGGGAAGCAGGCTCCCTGCTGAGTAGAGAGCCCGACACGGGGCTCAATCCCAGGACCCTGAAATCATGACCTGAGCCGAAGCAGAGTTAGCTTAACCCACTGAGCCACCCAGGCGCCCCCAAGTAAATTTTCAAAGACACCACTGAAAGGTGTGAGTGACACAGCATGTGAAATAAATTAAAGGAGTTTTCAACAATGACTAATAAAATTTTGGCCAATTTTCTCACACACCAAAACTTCTTCACTAAAATCAAGCCAAATTTGAGAGTCTGGATAACTAACTTGTAGAGGTGTCAATAATAACTGGTTTCTTGAGGAGAGGGGGGAAGTATTCTAATTGACAGTTCTATCCCCAAATGGGGTTGTAAAAGTTCCCCTAAAGAAAAGGGTCACTAAAAGAAGGAGGAAGGGAGCATGGCATCAAAAATAATAGAAGTCAGCCAAATCTGTTTGACTACACGCATTACCTCATGAATATCTTTTGGTATAATGTAATATCCTTACACACCTTTTTCAGTGGTTAGATAATATTCTATTGTATGGCCATGTCACACTTAATTTGGCCAGTCTCCTATGGCTGGACATTTTTTTTTTTCACTTTGTTCTCCTGGCACTTAGAATAAATTCTGGCACACAGCAGGTACTTAAAAAATTATTTGTTGCATTTTTTTCAATTATGAATTTCAAGATTGAATGGAGGAATGAACATGCAGAAAAGTCTCTGAAGTACTCAACTTTTTTCTACTTTCTCCAATTTGACAGTAAGAACCCAGGTGTTATAGTCCAGATAAATAAAATGCCTTAATTACTCAGGGCCCAAGTAGTAAAAGACTAGAAATAAATGTCCAAACTGTAACAGGGTAGGGAAAACTGGCTTACTTATCCTGATTATCTCAGGTTGTTCAACAGACTGATTTTAGCTAGAGTCCAAGGATATCAATGCCTGACAATATAATAAATTGCCTCTCCAGTTCTTAACTTCCAAAGAAAAAGACTAATTTTCTACCCAATAAAGGTCTAGAAGGACACAGTCAACAAAGTCTAGAAAACCCACATTAATAAGAACAGTTTGGCTTTGTAAAATATCACAGAATTAACAGACAACACTTCTGTTATGCAGGAAGTCAAATTCTTAGACACTTACAACCAATTTGCACCAGTGGATTTTTAAAAGAGCAAGTCAGTCATCATACTTTAAATTTCTGCCTTGGTTTTTCTGCAAGACCCGCCAGCCTCAATGCAAGTTGTGCTACAGATCCCGTATTTCTATCCTGACAAGTATTTAAGTCTATCATTCACTTCCAGATTACCCAAATCTAAATTCTCTTGAAATGGAGTCAGAAACAGACAAATTATTTCAGAACTAAGATGAGAAGCTATCAGCTTTCAACCTCCTGTTTGCTCGTGTCAGCGACACTTGTCATAAAATTTTACACGTGTCATAAAATTTTGTTTAGTGGAGTGGAAAAGCTAGCTGAATGATGTTTTGACTATCAAAAGCATCAAGGAAAAAAAGCTGAATGTGATTGATTTCAAAAGGAAAGCAAGGGGCAGCAACACAGGAAAGAATGAAATGTCTGGTGTATTATTGTTTTTTGTAATTGAACAACATGAGAGTATTGTGCTTAGTCAGGATATTGATGCATCTACTGAAAACCTGTCAATCATCATTTGAAAAGGAAGGAAAAAATATCATGCTTTCTTATTCCTTATAATTTGTTGTAATAAAAGCAATCACTACTTCCTAAACACAACTTACCCATTAAATACTCATTTTCCTTACCTTGTGACCTTGTCTTCCAGGTTCACCAATTTCTCCTTTAGCCCCTTTATGACCCTAAAAATGCATAATTAACAATAAATTAATAAATTAAAAAATAATTCTATTGGGTTTGTCACAGAAAGTGGTCAGGAGGTTCATAAAGTGATTTGCTTCCCTAAACCTGTGTCAGTGTGCTGCAAAAAAAAAGTTATGTCACGAAGAAAATGACTGCCTTCAACAACCTTAACAGTGCCATGGGTATTACATGACTAGTGTATATGGTAAATACTAGCTTTAGTTAATAGAAAAACACTGTTCTAGAATAACAAAGCTTCATTACCTGGTTCGCCAACATGATTTATCACCAGCTGATCCCTAGATCCCTCTATCCCAGACTTCCTCTCACAGTTGGGTCAAGAGCATTAAGTCTTCTCCAGCATCAGTAACTTTCTTCTTGAAGGTGACAGTCCTGACTGAGCTTAGCTGGCTGTTCCCTGCTCTCTCTGTGCTGCTCCAAAAATCATTCTGCCTCCTCTATACCCACCTCCTTCCTGGAGATGGAAGAAGGGCTGGTATGAGAAGGGGAGCTCCCCGGATACACAGCTTCCACCTCTTGTACACAATTGTAAGTGCAAAGGGAAAGCCATAAAGGGCAATCCATGAAAGCTGCATAGTACGAGAAGAAATCCCTGCATCTTCTTGTCAGGCTGCCTGTTCTAAGCATATGTGTGCTTTGGGTGGTAACATGAGGCAAATGGGAAATGAACATTCTAAAATTAAGACTATCAGAGCTTTCACCCTCGGAGACTTTCTTGTTCTGAGAGTGTAGGTCTTGGAGAAAAATAAGACACCAATCCAGGGGGCGCCTGGGTGGCTCAGTGGGTTAAGCCTCTGCCTTCGGCTCAGGTCATGATCTCAGGGTCCTGGGATCGAGCCCTGCATCGGGCTCTCTGCTCGGCGGTGAACCTGCTTCCCCCCCTCTCTCTGCCTTCCTCTGCCTACTTGTGATCTCTGTCTGTCAAATAAATAAATAAAATCTTAAAAAAAAAAAAAGACACCAATCCACGAGAAAATCTTCTGCAGTTGTGGGAACCCACTAAAACTCACCTTAGAGAAAACCATAATCGGAAAACCAGTGCCCTGGTGCCTTTCAGATCATAGCAGAATTCCTCTGGTCTGGAATTTTCAAAATCACTTCAGACTCATAGACTAGAGAGAAGAAGCCACTTAACCCCAACAGTTGGCGGTTTTCTAATGGGAAATTTTGAAGTAATTATGATACAGAGTGAGAGAAAAACATTTTGTGGAAGTCTCTTTTCTTGGCTATTTTGCACTGTTTTCCCAATTTTTTAACTAAAATAGATTCAAATACATTATGTGTATAATTGCTCCCCAATCTTCCCCAAAGGAAGCAAACTTCAGAACCTTAATTTGGTGTTACAGCATCTTACCAGCCAGTACATTTTACTGGTATTTCCTCCCTGAACAACGAAAGCACTGTATAAATCAAACATCCACATCTCCATGTACCTGCCAGGGGAGCCAGCTGAAGTTATAGGACTGTAGAAGGACCACAGACTAAGCCAAAGAATAAACAAACACAGACTTGCCTAATCTGCCAAAACGGGGTCTTGCACCAGAAAGGCCAGTACTTACAGGAAAGGATCTATTTTTTTTTCCTATGGATAATACTCTTGAATATAAAATACTGAAATTATTCTCTTACCCTCATGCCTGGTAAGCCTGGATATCCTGAGCGACCTGGTGGACAGGAATTGGGACACTGCGAAAGAGAGCGAGAGAGAGGTAGAGAGCATAAATTAGAGCATCCCTTTATAACAAAATGGTACTGTTTTAGGGATTGCAGCTTCAGAATCCCAGTATAATTATATTCATTAAATAAGTTTGAATACCCCTTCTTATCAATATTTCATTTTTAAACTCAGAAATATTCCTAGCTTACAGAAAAGTACAGAGAATAGAACAAGCTTTCCCCATGTGTTCACCATCCAGATTAAATAAGTGTTAATATTTTGCTATATTTATCTCACATTTATTAAAGAAATAAAATGTTTCCAGACCTTGTATACCAAATGTTTCCAACCTAGTGTACCACAACCTGATCCTTTTCTCTTCCCCCACCACCAGAACAGCTTTATCCTGAGGTCTACAAACCCTTGTCAAATTGGCCAAAATTACATTTAGTACAGTTTACCAACATCATGTGAATATTAGTCTATAAGTAAAACAAGTCTCAGAGGGAGTCATTTGACTTCTAGCTTCGGAAATTGGGGTGCTATGGTGAAAACGATGCTTTAGTCATAAAGTAAAAAAGACTTTGGAGAAACAAAAACATTTCCATAATGAAAACCATGCACAGTCTAAGTGTATACAAACCACCAGCCCACTAGGGCTCTGGATTGCTCTGCTATCCCAAGTAGAGTAAAACACAGAAATACAACATATTCCAGCAAGACAATTTTAAAGAGAACTCATCTGAAGATTACATGGTCTTTGACTTAAACAGTATTTTGTTCAAAGGTTAATATCTTACCAAGGGATCTCCTTCATGAAAGCCAATTGTTCCCTAAAGTAAAGAAAATATTAAAGTTAAGAATATAGTTAAATACCCTACTCAAACCCACTAATAACAGAAAGTCCATTGGACAAAAATATAATAAATATATTTGTTCAATAGAATATAAGGAACAAGTAGCAACATATAATATGCTAATATTTTAAAAACTTTGACTCATGGGAATATTCCTTTTTCAGCTCAGGTTGGGATCTCAGGATTATGAGATGAGCCCTGCCTTGAGCTCCGCTCAGCGGGTAGTCTACTTGAGGATTTCTCTCCCTCTCCCTTTGCCCCTGCCCCAAATCATATGCTTTCTCTCTCTCAAATAAATAAACACATCTTTTAAAAAAACTGAGAAGAAATAAAATACGAATTATCTCCTATTTAAACTCCTATTTTTAAAACTGCTTACTGTGTGAAGCCTTTGTAAAAATTAGTTCATTTGAAAATGTCCCTTTTATACATCCAAGTGTTAAGCATTTGAGAAATCACAAATGCCAAAAGACTTCAAATATATGAGTAAGCCATTCCCTGAAAAAACCACCTTTTAAATTATTGTTATTCCGTGACTTTTTTGGCCTAAAAAGTCCCATGGTATGAATGGGTGAAAAAATTGATAGCCATTTTGGAATTTTAGAATGATTACTTGATTAACAAGTACTTTCATTTTGGGTTCTTAGGTTTCTTTAATCCTAACTCTCAGACACAGGAAAATTCAGGCTGCAAATAACTTACACTGGGTCCCGGAGGGCCAGGGGGCCCAGGCGGTCCTCTTCTCCCAGGGTCACCCTAAATTATTTGAAAATTGTGACACAGTGGTTATACACATGTCAAAACACAGTGCATGAAACTGGTGAGGCATGAGAGACTATTACGAGAAACCCCCACAGAGCTCAGCCATGCGTAGACCTGCCACAAAAATCGATGGGTGGCCCATAATCCAATTAGCTCCACAAAACTGGAAGAATAAAGGAGCTCCAGTCTCACCAAAGCAATAAACAAGGCAAAAGGAGATTTGGGGGGGAGAAAAAAAATTCAATTCTTCTCTATAGAATGATCACTTTATTCTGAAAACAAACTGGAAACACAACATATTTTTCTAGTTGATTTACAGAGGAACTAAAACAGACAATACTGCCAGTGCCATCCAGATAATGGTAGCAAAAGAAGGCTTGCACCTGAAGCTATGGAGTGGAAGGCTAATCTGTGCAATGCCAGAGTCTCCCTGGTACTGTCTACCCACAGCTGTTACTTGGCCTGTCATGTACCCTCTTGCAAATGGGATAAAAGATCAAAGATGGCTAAATTCAAATGAAAACGGATTTCGATTTGTCTTAACATCCAGAATTTACTCCTTGCATACCTTTTCCTTCTTATTATTCTACCATAAGAAGTCAAAAGCATCTTACAATTAATTTAACCTTACAACCACCTCATTTATTCATCTGTTCAGTGAATAATTTTACCAAATAGTAAGACATACTTACTATACTGTAGTATAGTAATATACTATTACTATAGTAAGAGAAGCAAGAATAAGTATAGAACACGGGTCCTCTATTCTCAATGTGTTTACAATTATCTATCCTCCACATAACATCACTACTTCTCAACAATCTTGAAATATTTATTGGATAGTAACATCAAGAACTTATTACCAGCAATTTCTCCTACAGAGTTCAGCTCTTTATTACTTAATGCTAAGTTCTGTTGGTTCAATTATAATTTAATGATCCTAACATAAATAAACGTGGCAATAATTTTTGGCTGTTCACTTTTCATTTCATGCAGTGAGACTAATACAAAAGACACTGCACCTTAATTCCGGCTGAGAGTCTATTAGATGGAGGAGATACACGTTTGATTGATCACTAATTCTGGAAGTTGGGAAGAAAAGTTTAGCTGGTAACTTTGGGAAAAAAAATTAAAATCAGTCTACAGAAATGAGGTAGCATTATTATCCCCGGTTCCCGTCAATATTATGAACTGGAATGAAATGAATGGAAATGAACTGGAATGAAATTCATCATTTTTTGGATTTGCAGGGGAAAGCATACAGTTAGGGCAATTTGTCTTCCAGAGTAATGTCTTCTACTAAATCAGCAAATGTCTATCAAAATGCATTGCGGTACTCACAACTGGTCCAACACGGCCAAGCTCTCCAGGGAGTCCTGCTGCCCCAGGAGGACCCTATATATACACATGCAATGGAATATTACTCAACCATAAAAAAGAATGGGATCTTGCTATTTGCAACAAAACAGATGGACCTAGAGGGTATTATGCTAAGTGAAATAAGTCAGACAGAGAAAAACAAATACCATATGATTTAACTTATTTGTGGAATCAAAAAAAAATAAAGCAAAGAAGCAAACAAACAACAAAAAACCAAACTCTTAAATACAGAGAACAAACTGGTGGTTGTCAGAGGGGAGGTGGGTGAGGGTATAAGGTACAGAATTCCATGATAAAAAAGTAAGTCACAGAGACGAAAAGTATAGCATAGAGAACATAATCAATAAGATGGTAATAACACTGTTTTGTGACAAATGATAACCACACTTATTGTGGTGGGTGTGGGTGATGTATAGAATTGTATATTGGACACCTGAAATTAATACAACATTGTATGCTAATTATACTTCAATGTTTAAAAAAGTATAATTCTAAATAAATAAAGAAAGAACATGGTGACTTACGGATGTTTTTACAATCTATCATAAATGATATCAAATTTGATAAGTAACTGATTGAGTTAGGAGTACGTATCTGTCCTAGCTTTGGTTTCCAATGACACAATAATTCATCTGACCAAATTATAATTACATAAAATGGAACAGAAATTTCTAAAATGAATAAAATTTTTTGTTTAGCAGAACAGAGGTGTGTCATAGTAGCCACCTAAGGTCATGTATGTAGGACACTATAAATACCACTGGGTAGTGTTCATTGGAGAGTTAAGCTTGGAAGCTGAGAAATTGGCCATTGTTATAAACTAGGAAGAAATAAACCAAGAGATGATACTTACAGGGGGCCCAGGAATACCACGGCCCTAAAAGGTTAAAATAAAAATTATTATGGTAAGTGATTTAAACTTAGTATAAATGCAGATAGACATAAATCAGTTCAAAAAGAAAGTATAAATTTTGTCACTAAATAAATATATGATGTTCATTCTAAAGAAAGGACTATGAATAAAGAAAAGTAAACATGTCTCTCCTTCTAAAGGAAGAAGCTTGCTTCAGCACCTCAAATGTAGCTTGAACATCTAAGCTAACTGATAATACTTTTTCCAAACTTGTTTTTAAGAAAATCAAAATAAAGAAGTCATTCGTGCTTGTCTTCAGAACTTAGCATCACTCACAAAGAAGCACATCACAACCTGACAGTTTAAAGATTTTTTTTTTTTGCTGTGTTTAATAAGAAATCTGCATTAAAAGCAATACAGTGTACTGCTTTATAATGTATAATGTGTTGTTTGGAAATCCCCCCAAACATTCAGCATGGAAAGGCAGGGGACAAAAGACCAGAAATCACCCTCTTCTGACAAGTAGGGCTGTTTCCAGACACCAAATCCAATAGATGAAAATAAAATGGTGTCACTCCAGAAATGACTTACTACGGGATCCTAATCTAATATCCTGAATTTGATCTTAAAGCTAATTATTTTGTGTCCCTCTCCTTTATACTTTATCTCTATAGCAACACCAAACTGCATACAATCAAGGATTGAAATCACATCTTATTTATCCTTCTAGCCTCGATTCCTACCACAGGAACCAGTATATGCTAAACCCTAACATATGCTTGTTGAACTTCATATTACTGAACACCAGCTGCCTAAAATCCCTTTTTCTTTATCTTTGCTTTCCAGGTTCAATATCCCCCATTGGAAATCCTCATTACTCCTTTCTCTCCTACATTGGCTTAAATAACTTTTATTCACAGCTATCTCTGATACCGTGTTCATGTTAGCTTTTCATTCCTGTCTTCCTTTTCTAAAATATCCATATATGAAGCATTTAGTGGAATCAATGTGCACCCTGTGATAATGATGTTACGATTTCCAATTATTCAGGCAGCCAAAACAAGCACGAATTTCAGATGAGCAGTATGTTTTAATAATAGGTGGGGCTTTTTCAAGGTATTTCAAGGCATTTGAAAAATTACTCCTATTTGATCATTTTAATATGTAAATCAATTCAGGAAATAAGAGTTATGCTTAAAAATACCAAAGTAATCAAAAAGTTATTTCACTATCATAGCTCTAAATGTTTGACAAATTTCAAATTTCACTCAATTTTTTTAAAAAAGGCATCTCTATAAGATGTTGAGCTCTGAATGGAAAAATATGAAGGAAAGGCCAGCAAGCTATTTCACTTCTGAAAATAGCCTCATAATGGAAAAGTTGACAGACAGTGAAATATGGCCATGAAAACAGTGCAAACAGAAAACAAAGACAAAAAATACAGATTAATGACAAGAACAAAAGAGAAATAAAAAGCAAAATAGAAAGGAAAAATAGCCTGAGAACCTAGCCCTCTTATAAATAGAAATTACAAAAATCAGCCAGATTGGGCAATGCAGGAAAGGACTAACCAGGGAATCAGGCTGGTAATTATATCTGATGGTTACATTCCATCCGAGATAAAACCAGGTGTGAAGAAAGTGGTTTGATATTATGGTCTAAACATCGAAGATTTAGATTTGCTGTTATTATGCAAGAAATGTTTTCCATCAAGGGGATTGAAGGGGGAGTTACCTATTGGGAGACACCACCTGTAAGCAGACATATGTATTTTATACTGTGCATTCAAATTTCTCTAAAGGTTCTCTACTCATACTCAGAATGCTTACCATAGCAGATAAGTCGAGAACTCCTTTGTGATGCATATTATACCAAAAGCTGCATTTAAACATTTCACAATGACAGGAAAAGACAGATTTTCAATTCTGTCACTTTACAGTTACTTACTGGAAATCCACGAGATCCAGGAACACCAGGTTCTCCCTAAAAATAAAAAGAGCTTCATTGTACTTAGCTTTTTGTAGCATGAATATGTAAATATGTAAATTGCATAAATTTTGAAATCATTAAAACACTCCATCTTGATGTTTTTAATTTAATTCAACTAAAACACGATTTTAGTTGAAGTACATTTCCTCTGTTTCATAACTGATTTTTCAGTTGATTTGCAAACACTATAATAAAATTATACTTCAGCATCTAACTAATAACAGTAATTAATACCAGGTGGCTAACTTACTTTTTGTCCTCTTGGTCCAACAGAACCAGGGGATCCATCAGGTCCTGTTAATCCCTAACAAAGGAAGATGATGTTAGAACAATTAAAGCATCCTTAGGCAACCCCCTAGGTGGATAATTGCATTTTATTTATTGTACAGAATGGTTATCTTTGTATGATGTAAATATTTACAAAGAAATACTTTCCTATATTCTTATTCAAAGGTAATGTTTAACATGAAATCTGCCTGTTACTTTCTGTTGATAAATTTTATAATATTCCTAACTTCCTGCTAACAGGGTCCAATAATTTTAGTAATTTTTGTCTTTGCTTTGGAAAAATGCTTACAACAATTGTAGCATTCTAATAGCTACATCTAATGGGACAATAGATCTTGGCTTTGTCAATTACCCATGTTTATGCACCTCCTTTACTTCAGACATATAGTAAAAATACTATATGTCTCTGTATCTCTCTAACAGTGTTTTGAGAGTTAATAAAATGTTTCTTCAATAGAAATTAAAAATACTCAATCTCATTATTGTCCTATAGCCATCTAAAGCCCCCTAGCCATCTTCTAGCAATAATGACTGTTTATTGATTAACTTTTAAAATAAAATGTTTGGAGCACCAGGGTGGCTCAGAGGGTTAAGCTTCTGCCTTCAGTTCAGGTCATGGTCTCAGGGTCCTGGGATCAAGCCTGCTTCCCCTCTCTCTCTGCCTGCTGCTCTGTCTACTTGTGATCTCTCTCTGTGTCAAATAAATAAATAAAACCTTTAAAATTAATTAATTAATTAATTAAATGTTTGAGAACATCCATGTTTCTACACTATTTGCCTTAGTAAAAATAACCATAATTAAGTATATATTTTCATGTGTGTCAATTAGGATGCAGAATTTAAGCCAATTACTATAAATCACATTTTAGAACTATCATATTTAATATTAAATATGTTATTTAAAGCATATCCTCCAAATACTCTCAGTTTCCCTATCAGTACTTTTTTTACCATCATCCTCAATATAAAATAGATTTTAAAGCATTAATAACACTATATTATACACCTTAATTTCCACATTTGATGAAGATGTATTTTTATTTTTTAATTTTTTCTCTACTCTTTGACACTTTTAGATATCATTTGTAATGCACTCTTGAAATTATACCTTGCCAAATATAAATATGTGTACCTGTATATTTATATACATATACATATGTGCATGCATACATCATACATCTTACAAAACTATTTATTACCAAGATGTTGAAAAAGACTCAAATGGTATTAATCGAGGAAGGGATTCCTTGCAAATATGAAAGCCCTACTTAAAAATGGATCACCAAAATCCACGTTGAATCTGTCAAAGTCTACATATCACTAAAATGTTCCCATGTAATTTATATAGAAAACCAGCTCACTGGCCACCATTTTTACATTTCTCTACGTCAATCCATTTCCCTTATAACTCCAAAGGGTGAATCAAAGGAGATAGCAAAAAATAAGTTGAAAATGTTAACTACTGGAAATTTACCAAAGAAAAATATTAAACACACATAAAACAATCTACATACAAGCCCCAGCATCTTAGGTGCTGAGCACCTGTAGTAATGCAATGTTCGTTTTTTATTTTGGTACACAAACCACACATCTGGAGCATTCTCTGCAGGCATGGATGGCCCACAGATTGTACAAACCTGAGAACACATCTGACTCAAGGAACCCCTAACACCCACTTCATGTAGAGACCCTCCAAAATCAACCTTGGTCAATTCCCACACATGCAACCAACAGTCTTCAGTGGGTGACTGGAAAAACTGACGAGACTGGCGAGCAATAGCTACGATATAGGGTAGAATTTCAGCTGCATAATAGTAAAGCAGAACCAGGTAAGTGGTTGAACAACATGGAAGCTGCTTCCAGGTCACTTCTCATTTAAAGTACCTTGTATAACGCATGACAAATTATGCCTGTCACTAGGAAGTTCTTTGAACTAAATTGCTAATACATTTTGGTGTCAGATGTTACAGTGAACTCTGTTATGAAATAGTTATGTAAAAACCATAAGCTCCATCAGGACAAGGACTGCATGACCATTATAATCCTGGCACACTGTCCCTGGCTTCTAACATATACTCAGTACAGAAGTACTGAATATTTAATTTAGGTTAGTCTGTTAAGCAGAAGGATATTTCGCTTCTCTCTCTACATCATCTTTATTCGGGGTTCAAATCCCAACGTTGCCACTTATTAGCTGTGCAACCATGACAAGCTGCTTAACTGCATAGTGCCTCAGTTTCCTCATCTGTAAAATAGATATAATATTAATATCTACCTGATATGGTAATTTTGAAAATTAAATGGGATATTACACACAAAATGCTTACAACAGTGCCTGGCAAAGTGGGCCCTGAATAAATATTAGCTATTCTTATTATCATCATTATTATATGGACAGCATTGCTATAGAGGTTGTTAAGAGTTCATCTGAAGTACAAGACATTTTTCCTGCCCTCTGGGAGCTTAAAACCTCATTCACAAGGGGTTCTACAAACAAAACAAATGAACAAACAAACAAAAATCTAGATATTAACCATAAGTACTGTATTTCATGGCCCCGTCACATTTCTTTGATGTCTATTTCCACTTACAATGACCTATCCAGAATGATTTCTTAATAACTCACCATTCTAATCATATAAACGTCTGCCAGGGATAGTAGTTGTATACATCCTGAGGATGTTCTAACTTCTTCCCTCCAACAAGTGGTATGGTTTAACTGTAATGCTTATATTTAATTCTAATTCTTCTTCCACCTATCTTAGATGGATGCTATAAAGAACAAAATACTGTTTTCAGAGCTCACTGAGCATGTCATTGCAAATAGTGCTGATAAGAATATCTCTATTGATTATTGATAATAACACAGTTGTCCTTTGGGTGCAAAGTTATAACCAAACTCTGACTTCTCTAATTTTACATATATATGTATATATATACATATATATATACATATATATATGAAATATCCCCCATTTACATTTACACACACACAAATTCCATTTCGCAATAATTCTTATCTGTCAAAAACTTGACAGAGAAAAATATTACCAGTGGCAGAAAGAATTGCTTTCACATGAATGTTTGTGAAGATAAAGTTCTGTATGGGATGATTTTGAAGCTGTGCTCTGAACTTTCATGCTGCTGCTTGGCAGAGAACACCAGACCTCAATACTAATTTTCTTCCAATGTTCCAACTACTCAGCTCGTGAGACTCAAGGCATAATTCTACAAGCATAGCTGCCATGAATCTCTTACATTTTCTGTCAAAAAATCTACTTCACTTAAGATAATTACCCTTTAAATCATGTTCCTTCCATAGTCTTCCAAACATCATCTGATTAACCATTTGTTAACATTACAAAAAGTATAGCTTTGCAATAAACCAAAGAGCAGAAGACAAAGAGGTTGGAGGTGTAAGGTCCCACCATTACACACCCACTCCCCTAACAAGAACAGACCATTGGCGCTCTCCTGCTTACCTAGCTCTCCTATGGTCAGGGACAAACAAAGCAAAGTCTGATGCAGTTACTCATTTTTCATTATTCTCAATGTCTAGTCTCAATTTAAGGTAAAAGATTTGTTTAAAATGTCAAATGAGCCAAAGAGTACAGTAAGTCAGAATTTTGTAAGCCCCCTGTGGCTCCATGTCAGAATCTGGTGGAACCGTACCAATATTTACCAATAATTACAAAATATCAATTATATATTATTTTTATGATCCATTGAATTACCCGTATCATTTTTCTTGGCCGGGAATTCAGATACTAAAAATTCGCTATCACTCTTTTCCTCTCTTATTCACGTATTTTAAGATACTCGTTTGTATCCGCATGAGACAAAACTATCTGGAAAGAGAGTGAGTGTAAAAAATGAAGAAATCTAGGTTTTGTACTTTATTTTTTAAGATTTTATTTATTTACTTGACAGACAGAGATCACAAGTAGGCAGAGAGGCAGACAGAGAGAGAGGAGGAAGCAGGCTCTCCGCAGAGCAGAGAGGTTGATGCAGGGCTCAATCCCAGATCATGACCTGAGCCAAAGGCAGAGGCTTTAACCCACTGAGCCACAGTGGGTTAAAGGGAGCCTTTAAGACACCCCGGGGAGCCTTCAGGCACCCGGAATAAATCTAGTTTCTTTCGCTATCTTCGCCACTAAAGAACTCTGGGTCCCTGAGGAAACTACTTGTCCTCAAAATTATTCAGTGTTCTTATCTGTGGAGAATAGTATTAACCAAACTTGCCTTCCAGGTTATTGTAAGGTTAAAGGAAATAATGTTTGTGACTGCACTTGAGGAAAAAAGTTCTACACAAATGTACATTAGTATAGTTAACTTTTTGCTTAGTATAGTTAACTTTCTGTTGTAGGAAATGCCTAAAAGACTGGCACATACACAGAGGTCTTCCTACGATTCTGCAACTATAGACCAAGACAAAAACTCCTTGTACTTCTAAAGATATTTAAGCACTTTCATTTGTTTATCCAAAATCTCTGTTTAAATGGGGGAATTATTTTATAAAGCAAAATCAGGCATTGTCTTTATAACCTGGCGGTGAAAGGTAAAGAAAAATTGTAGTATGTTGAGCATGCTGCAAAAGCACCACACAGAAGCCCCAGGGGAGCCCCTCAAGATTCCTCTTCCTCCAGCACCCCCTGTGCCAGGAAGTGGGGCTGAGAGTTCAGGCAGTGAGCAAGGAATGGAGGGTTAGGGGCAGGCCCAGGGAACCCAGGAGGGTTTTCTGAGAGCAAGGAAGGCCAGCGCTGGGTGCTCTCCCCAGGGGGGCGAGAGCTATGTCCACCCTCACAGGACCCTTTGCAGAAACTGCCGCCTCCACGGCACGCGGAGAGTACAAGGCCCAGTTCAGGGCCATAGCCCTGTTTCAACGTGGATTCCCGTAGCCTGCAGGCCTTCAGCGTCTGAGCAGGTCTCTCCTGCCCCCACCCCCACCCTCTCGCCCACCCTCTCGCCCACCCTCTCGCCCACCCCCGCGCCCGCTTCCCCGTGCGCGCGCCTGCGCCTACTCACGTCTGCACCGGGCGTGCCTGGCCTTCCTGGAGCTCCAGGCTTGCCGGGTTCTCCAGGAGGACCCTGAGCAGGGAGGGGGTGAGGCCGGGAGAGAGAAAGATCCAAAGTTCAGACTCTTGGGACTCACGTGGCTGCAAACCACGTCCAAAGGAAAGAAACGAAGAGCGAATGCGCTGATCAACTTACCGGGGGGCCCGGGGGACCCTTTGGACCTCGGTCACCCTGCAGGGGTAGCAGAAAAGGCAAGAGTAGTCCGTGAGTGGGGGGCGCTGAGGACCCAGCTGGGAGACTCCCACGCGTTTTCACCACACACCTCGGGGACAGGGACAGGGTCAAGCTAAATGGCGGAGATTCTTGACCAGCGGAGACAACTGGACGTGTCTACCTCATCCCTCCGGGAGTGCCCACGCTTCTAGAGAGGATCCAACCCAGCTCTCACCCATGCCCCAGCCTGCCTCTGGACGGCGGGTGTCTGGCCCCATCATAAAACCCATTCCGTGGAGAAAGGGTGGGAAAAGGCGGGACTAGAGGAACAGAGGACTGCAGATAGAAACTTACGTCGATGCCATCGATGCCTGGAACTCCAGGGGGACCCGGGGGCCCGGGGGGGCCCTGCTGGCCCGGGGGACCTCTCTGACAAAAACAGCACACACGGGTTAGTGGAGCACGTTGGGCAACAACGAGAAACTGGTGCGATGTCCTGAGACCCCCACCTCCACCCGGTAAGGACACTTCCCTTTGGAGGACAACAGTCTTGAAATCCGGGAACGAGTATGAAACTCCCAAACCACCCCAGGTTTCTTTGATTCCGCCATATTCTGAATGAGGCTCACTAGTGTGTTTTTTTGGGTTTTTTGTTTTGTTTTTGTTTTTGTTTTGACAGACAGAGAACACAAGTAGGCAGAGAGGCAGGCAGAGAGAGGAAGGAGAAAGCAGGCTCCCTGCTGAGCAGAGAGCCCGATGCGGGGCTTGATTCCAGGACCCTGGGATCATGACCTGAGCCGAAAGCAGAGGCTTTAACCCACTGAGCCACCCAGGCGCCCCTCACTAGTGTGTTTAGAGCAGAATCTAGGCCCTAAGGTGGGCGCTGGGGTCACAGGGACTCACCCCTAGCGAGACCATTAAACCAAAAGGGGCGTCTTGAAGAAGGGAGAACCTGACGCCTTTTTTTGGGGGGGGGGGGGGCTTAGTAATGAAAATGGTGGCCATTCACCATCACGGTTTGATCAGCAATTGAGGGTGTTTTGGCTAAAATGGAACAGCTCAGAACGGAGGCGCTCCAACCCAGATCGATTACAGGATCATTTTGTAAATCTTTCCACATCCAGTAGAAATCAGGGAGAAATACTGGAGGAAAACTGGGGAGGATTGGAGCAAAAGAGCTTTGAAACCCAGGGAGGGCCTGGCCTCATTTCGATTTACCTGCATTGACGCTCTCTTGCATAAGGTCTTTGCACCTCGTTCTAAAACTACACCAAATTTCAGACTGACCCTAGGGTATTACCGCTTTTATCGCTTGCAAACAGCTAAGCTTTTATGGTGCTAGAGGGAATACTGGCGACTGAAAATAGTGTGAGCATGTGGCTTAGGGAATGTGAGATTTTTTTTCTCTCTCTCTCTCTCTCTCCTAATTTAAAAAAAGAAAGCAAAAGTGGGGGGAGCTTCTTTCATCAAGGAAACTTTGTTTTTGTAAACTCCAATGACCAGACAGGTTACAATGGGGTCTTTGTAAGTGAAACCTCAAACCGCCACTGGACTCACCCGCCCCCGCCTGGTCCTCTCCCGCGCGGGAGGGAGGAGACGCTGGAGCCTTCGGGAAATTGCTGAAATTTTGACTGATGCCAGCCAAGGCCGCCGGGTTCCAATCCCAGAGCGGCGGGCACAGCTAGCGGGGGCTGGCGGTTTAATGCTGCCACCATAGGCTGGTGGAGCTGACAGGCAGCTTCAGCGCCGCTACTCTGAATTCCCGCCTTCTCCAGAAAGGCCTGCTCTTGAATGCAACCAGGAGTGGCTGGGTGGGGGAGTTAAGCAACCCGGTAAACCTCCCAAATTTAGTGGCGGGTCCCCAGTCACTAGTGGCTTTCAGAACCTCAGTCTGCAGTTTGGGGGCCCAGGTGGGGAAGGAGATGCCTTTCCCGAACTAAGGGTCATCTAGGGTCCCCGACTCCGACGGTACTCGCTGCAGGTGCTCAGGGCTGGAGGGAGGACACCGCTGCAGAGCCCAAGGAAGGCTCTGCGCCTTCCCCACAGCTCCCGCGATGGCTGTTCCTCCACTTTTCCCTGGGTGCATTGGAAAAATGCAAGCACTTCTCGCCCCCCGCTTACCTGGTCGGTGGTCTCGCTGGGCTGGAGAAGAAAAGACAGGGAGAAAGTGAGAAGGCTCTCCCCACCCCCCTCACTCGCGCACAACTTACTTGAGCCATGCACAAGCAGAGCCCAGACAGCAGCAGTCGCAGCCCTAGGGCCCCTCGATCCCGCGCCGTCCAGGCCATGCCCGCCACCCTCTGCTAATCCCCTGGACGGACTCTGCCTCCTGCCGCCCCGCTAGGCTTCTGGACCCGTCACACACATAAAGTGGCTCTTCTCCCCCGCAAAAAGTGCCCCGGGGAGTAGTTAGTCTTTGCAAAGGTGCCCAGCCAGGAGGCGTACGTTCCTCCTGTTTATGAATGGCCCTGGAGAGGGTCCTGGGGATTGGAGGAGAGCTAGCGGGCTGGAGGACGGATAGAATGACAACAGTCCCCCTTAACCCTTTCCCCTCCGCCACACAGGCAAGGCCTGAACGTGCACCTCTGCCTCTCCACCCAAATGTAGTCTCTCGCTGTCTACTGTGGGCGGCAAATGGACAGCCAGGGTTCTCCAGGAGATGTTTGGGGGAGGAGCAGTGAGGAGCCACCCAAGGTGGGACCAGACACCCAGAGGTGATTTCTACTTGCCAGGCTGTGGTGGCACCTGTGCTTCCTTCATATCTATCTGGTTCCTACAGTAAAGCCTGAACTCTAGAAGAGTGGGGAGGTGGGGAGTTTATGGAGCTGGTGGGAGGTAGGCTAGGTGGAAGTGTCCTTTGCAGGTGGTCAGCGGACTCACAGTTATTCGGACTGGCAGCTCATGGCAAGTTTCTCTCCTGGGGCGTAGTGGGTCACAATGGATCAGCATCCACTGAAGTTCAAACTGGGGAAAGACAGCAGACAGTCCATTCAGATTCTTTTGGAGGACAGAAGCAGGTCATTTAAGCGAGAGATAAGTTTATAAGTGTGGTCCAGTTGTTAAGTGACCGGAGACCAGTTTGAATTGGTTGACTTCAGAGGACCCATACTCTTGTTCCTTGAATACAGATTTAACAATGGAAGTGGGCTGGAAGCCCTTCCTAGGTTTCTGTGATGATCAAATGTAGAGGTCTAGCTCTGTAGTGTTCCAGCGCAGCCCTTGGCAGGAACAGACCCCTGGCACCGACTTTCCATTTCTGTCCTTCCACATCCTCAAGATGTAGATTCTATTAAAATGAGGCCCTGTGAGAACAAGGAACTGGCCAAGTCACAAGCCAGTGTGAGGGTTTAGATTGGAACCCAGGCCTACTGAACTTCACAGAGAACATACGCACTAAGAGTTTACATGGGAGAAGATTAGAGACAGAGACAGCCAAAGAGGTGGCACCTAGGAGGAAAGGAGAGGAAAGAAAATCCAGTCCTACCAGAAATTTCTCCATGGAGTATTCACAGCTTAAAATGGAAACAGAAAGGGCTAGAAATGGAGGGAATGAGAGGGAAATCTAGAACTCAGGGGAAAAAACAAGAGAATAGAAAACATTTAAATTTGGTGTTATCTCATTCATTGGTTGAAGAAATATAAGGTTTTCAGACACTTGAAATCCAAATGTGCCCTGACAAGTTCTTACATTTTAACAGGTGTTAAGAGAGAAAGAAAGGAACAGGAGAGAAACGTTACAACGCAAGACTGACCAGGTCTGAAGCTGAAGACTTCAGGTGACAAGATTAAAAAAAAAAAAAAAAAAAAAAAAAGATATACACTACCCAGCACCTCCATTCTGGCCCATCTTCTTAAATTGAGGAAATTCCTTGCTAGTCATCTCAAATCAGATCGTATTTCTTGGTCAGTTGATTCTTGTGGCATTACGCAAGTGTCTAATTAAGTATCAAGGTCCCAAATCTAAAACATTATGTGTTTTCTTTCATCCAGTAGTGATTTACACTTCATCCCAGCTGCCAAAAGATCTCTAGATCTGCTGGATCTAGCATTAAGTTAGATACATTTTTTTTCCATTTTTATGGAAACATCCAGAATTGAGGTTACTGAAGGAAAGATCAGATTTGGAGAGGATGAAGGAAGAAGTCCTTCCCTTCTACCCATAATGAAGGGAAGTCAAACAAGGGAAGTTTTTCATTTTATAAAGGGGTGAAAATGAGACACTAGGCTGTCAGATTCCTGCATTTGTATCTCTTCTCAGATGATTCTAACTGTCCTGGTTGCTCTCAACCCTACCATGGCTCTTTTCCAGAAAACATGGATATCTGGAAAAATGAGGTAAGTGGGATGAAAAGAAAGTGAACAGCTAAACCAAGATATATTTTAAGATGGACAGTTCTCTATAAATTGTATGAAAATTGTGTATTCGTGGTATGAATTATTTAACAATAGTATACTGACATCCTATAAAAGAACTGCTTTTCAAGCCACACAATTATCTTAGAGTTAAGCACATCACTTTTTCAAATACTTTATCTTTATTAGAGTAGTCTCATTTGCTTGGGAAGGATTTTATTTTAGTTTTGTTCTTAACTGAAGTGGAAATTTTAATAAGAAGATAAAAGAAAGAATGGGGCAGCCTTCTCCTTCATGACTACTAAATACCTAGCTGTGCCTCAGACAACACTTCGAAGCTGTCCACACATGAGTAAAGTGGGGCAAAAAGGTGAAATCACTTGCCACAGATCACACAGCTAGTAAAAGACAGAGCTAGTATTCCAAATGGGCCTAATTGTAAAAGAAGGGCTTTCTCTACTCCTCTACTTAGCCTCCCCTAAGAATAATCCATCTCCAGAAAGAACCATCATTTTCTAAGCCAGTAACCAAGGAATTTGGTGATTGAACATTTGTATTAAAGATGAATAAAAAAGAAGAATGATCTAGAAACTAAAACTTTGTAAGCTTACGTCCAACATCTGCTAGAAAACTTCAAAACAAGACTAAGGAACTTCCCTAAGAAGCTAGACCTCTCCCTGCTTGCATGAGTATTATGCATATACATCCAAAAGCAAATTTCTAATGCTTCTTCAAAAACTGACAATTCTATAGGCAGATACATATACCTGTGTATATGTATAATAAAATATCAAATAAGAAAGAGGGCTATAATTCTTGTTCTTCAATGATTAGATAAAAATATTACTGGAATAAGAGAAGGTATCTCTCCCCAACTCTCAAAATAAGAAAGACCATTCATATATTTTATTCACTAAGTCCTTTGTGAATTGGAAATTCACACTAGGCATGCATTGTTTATGTTTGATATTTTGATTCTCAAAAAAATTCATAGCCTAATCATCTTGAGAAACTTTAATTATATGGCTAACCAGGAAACCTATATCCTTTGTTTAGATATTTCATTAAAGTTACTTATTGTAAATCCAAAGTAATTCATTAAGCTGTTTTCAGAAAAATGTCATTTTCTCTGGATAAATGGGTACACCTGTTTAAATATGCAAGATGCAATTGTGGCACAGGATAATGGGGGAGTGAAATGTAATTCATCTGTGAATACAGGCTGGGTTGTTCAGAGTGCCACATAGATCAAAGGTTTCTGCACACATCTGTGCATCCACATAAACACCACCTACGCACTAATAATCATCTATACAACAACATTTTTTGGCATGCAATATGAATTCCAATTTGCATGTTAATTATTTTGAAGGAGGATTGGCAGAGTTACTTACTGAAAGTCACTTTCATTACACATCTAAAATGCTGATTTCCACACGTTTCTCATCTTCGTACCTGGAATCACTGTTCCCTTTGAATACCCACTGACAAAATATATGTGACGAATATTTTAATTTAGTCCTTCAGTTAACATTTTTGAAGTCCTGATATAAGCCATGCGCTAGGGAAATATTCTAGGGAAACCAAAGATATTCTCCTCCCCCTAATGAGTTTACAGTTTGTAAGACTTGAGAAAAATACAAGTAGAGAAATAAGAAAGTTGTTTTTTTTTTTTAATCAGTTAAATAGAATGCCCTGGCTCAATTCATTCTTCTCAACATGAAATACATCACCATTGTCTCAGAAAGAACTGACTTGTGTGAGTGTAAGATGCCTGATGTCATCCAGATTTGGCACTACCCAATTCTTTTCTATAGAACATTAAGGTATAATTCTATCCCCTAAGCCAGAGTAGTGTCCAGCAGACAACACATTGGAACAAGGAATTTTGGCACCAACTCTCTACTCTTCTAATAGCACTAGTGATTTCTTCTTATTCTGCTAGGTTGTTGAGAAAAATTAATAAGGTATTTAAGCTTTTCATAAAAATTAAGCAAAACTAATGGCAGACAACTATCTTTTCCTCCTGAGAGAATTCTAATGGCAACCTGTAGAACTTGGTTCAGTATTAATGAGAATAGCACAAGACTTGATTTTTTTGCATATCAAATTATGTTTAAATTTTATAAGTATAAAATACCTAAAAACTAGCTCTTCAAAGATAAGTTTTTTTTTTAAACAGGAGAAATGTTTCATTAAGTTTTTGTCTACTCAGTGGCAACAAAGATTTAAAGAAATACTTGAACTCTGAGATCTCATTTTTCTTTTCAGTTTATGCCAAAGTGTTGGTTTCTACCATCATGAGGGACCTCCTCCAAGTGAGGCTTCCTAGTTGCCAAGCAGGAGGCCCTGAGCTGCCCTGAAATCAGAAATTTCCCCAACCCTCTGTAGACTGGGCCCTGCCGTTCTAGACATAGTGCTAAGAATTGTCATTAACTATGAGCAGGTGACAGTCTTCTGAACCATACCAAGGGCAGAGGCAGAACAGTGAAAGGAAAGAGCAACAGACTTAGAGTTAGCAGACCTGGCATGTAGTACTTTGTCATCTTTTTATCCAGCATATCTTTACATAACACACTCATGCGCTTTGAGCTAGAAACTATGGAAGCCACAAAAATGTTTAGTACGTAGGGCAGCATCTAGGCCAAAAACTGCTTTTGACGGTGTATAGTACTGAAATTGATGTACGACGTGGCTAAGGTCATCAGCAAGAGGATCTTCTAACCTGTAGCATGTGAGAGAGGCCCTGCAGAACAGTTGAGATGCCCGTAAGCAGAGACAGGGAGGGTAAAGGTAGAGTTCTAAAGAGAAGAGGTAACAGGAACACAGCACCAGAGGAGGAAGTGATGTGTACAGAAGGGATCCGATTCTCTGTGGCAAACAGCAGACATTAGACGTTTCTGTCTGTTGAATTCTAAGCTAAGGAATTTGAGAAGCATTGGATAGCTAGTTACTGGACCATCATCAGAGATGTTTCTGCACCAGGGATGCGGATGGGGAAAGGTGGCCCAGTTTAGAAGGGCACTTCAAGGGGATTCATGTGGCAATAAATACCTGATCCTTGGAGTCAGAAAGAGGCTACTTTACTAGAGCATAAAGGAATGTTACACCTTGAGCCATAGTGAGGTATCCTCAGCTATGTGCCCATTTAAAAAAAAAAAAAAATCATCCTCTCATGCCACATCCCCCTTCAGCTGCCATCCCAAAACCTTTCCAACTGAACTTTCACTCCCAATACTCCAACAGGTCTTTTCTCAAAACCATTCTCTTGGGTTTCTGAATCCAGTATCTGATCTCAGCCCTCATCTAATTTGAACTGTCCACAACATTTGAGTGAGTTAACCATTCTGTCCTCCTTAAAATTCTATTTTCCCCTGACTTTCAGGGCACCAAAATCTCCTGATTCTCTCCGATATCACAGGCTACGCTTTCTGGTCTCTTTGGCCAAATCTCCCTCATCTCAGCAACCTTTAAATGTTGGTTGTTTCACAGTTCAGTTCTAGAATTTCTCGACTGCATTCATCTCTCAGTGATTCATCTCACTGCATGGCTTTAAATACCACATATATGCTGACAACTCCTAGAGTTCTGTTCCCAGCTGGGCCTGCCTG